CAGGAGGTTGTGGGGTGCCAGGTGATTGGGATGCCTCTGTTCGTTGGCCAGCTGCTCGTCGCCATTCCAGGTTGAGAGGGGTCTGCTGGAGTTGCACTGGCAGTAGTTGCGGCGGAGGCCCCAAGGCCGAGCTCTCCATCATCTTGTTCAAGGTCGTCTCCTGGGATACCTCCTTGGACCTCTTCAACTGCCCACTGGTCTCCTGGATCGGGGTCAGATTCTTCTTCTTCCCCGAGCCCATCCGCTTCGAGGAAGTTTTGGATCCTCCTCCCTTTGTCGTCCCAGAGATTGAGAGGGCTTCCTTGGCTCGATCCCACAGACCTTTCTTCGTCGCTTCCTGACTCGCTTGAGAGGGCAGGGAGATCGAAGAGGCCTGGTATGGGAGTGTCTCCTCAGTCAAGGAGTATGCCCCAGGTATCTGTGATGTCGATTGAGGCAGTTCTGTAGGAGTCGGTGCTCGACTCATCAGTGCTTGGTTCGGTGCTGGAGTTTCCTCCTGGGGGTGTGATGGGTCATCCATCATGGAGCATGGTTTGCGACGCTGGAGGGATTACGATCGTCTGCGGCATGTAAGGGGGAATATAATGAAACGGGAGCCACGCTCTTGCTTCTCTTCTATGACAGCAGCAACACCAGGCCTGTTGTACGGCGAGGAGTATGACTGCGAGGGTAAAGAGGGTAAAGGCGACCGAGATGGTGGGGATGAGCTCAGATGGTGGCATAGAATTCGTCGAATGATGACTGTCGAAGCCACTAGAGCGGTGAGGGTAATTGAGAATGCGAATTCGAAAGATGGCATAAAATGCCGGGAATTTGTTGAGTGCTTTTTCGTTGGTCCACTCGTGGTGTGCTAACAGTCACAAAACTGTCCTCACGAATGCAAGGCGATGACCTCCTCTGGTCAAGCGAAAGATCGGTGGTTGCTGGTCCGAGCAATCGATAAGCACTGACAAATGTCTAAGTGCTGTCTAGCAACCCTTTTGGTCTAGCTGAAGAATAGAGTCTTTGAATATCGTCAGGCGACATTCGTTCTCTGATGTGGCATCAGGTGACATGTGAACGAGCTTCAGCTAAATGTCAACAACCAACTATAATCGACTTCAATCGAACTAGGATCGCCACTCACACTTCGGTGGACGATACTCTAGCAAGTCGAAGGTGATCGATGAAGTCGATCAGGGACTAAATAGACGCAAAACGCGGAGTCTTCAGTGTTGGGTAGATTAAACCTTAGCCGGAGCTGGGGTTTAGACCAGCGAGGCTGCTACTTAAATACAGGTTGGGTAGGCTAATAATAGTACTGTGAGAAACTGTCCATGATGATCGCATATGAGTAATCAGGCTGAGTAAAATGGAGAAAAATGAATAAACCGTAACAAGAACTCATCTCCCACTACCATGATCATGTCTCTGCAGGGCACTCAGGTATCGACAAGACCAAAGAGTTGGTCTTGAGAGAATACTGGTGGCTCAGGCTGTGAAGAGACATAGAGACCTACATACAAGGATGCAAGGCATGTCAAAGGATGAAGACCAACATGCAGCAGAAAGCAGCTCCACTACATCCTAATGCTGTGCCATCTCAACCATGGGAACACATTTTGGTCAACATAATCACTGGATTTCCAGAATCCAAAGGCTATGACACAGTACTAGTCATTATAGACCAATTCTCAAAATACATCATGCTGGTTCCATGCATGAAAGAACTCTTGTTGAGCAGATGGGCTAAAAATCCTATGCAACAAGATCATTTGCCAATTTGGGGTCACCCTCTCCAAGGTCATCTCTGACCGAGGACCCCAATTTGTCTCAAAATTCATCACTGAGTTATATGCGATGATGAATATTCAGGGTAATTCATCAATGGCTTATCATCCACAGATGGATGGACAAATGGAGCAGATTAACCAAGAGCTCGAAAAATACCTTCAAGTCTTTGTTAACCACAAGCAGGACGATTGGAGCAAATGGCTGCAGTGGGCAGCCTTCACTCACAACAACCACCAACACTCTGCAATAGGCTTTTTCCCCATCAAACTTGTCTTTGGATGTGATGGAGAAGAGGCTATCAGAAACACCATTGGTAACTGACTTCATCACAAGCCTTCAGAGGGTCCATAAGATAGCAGAAGAGTCTCTGCACAAGGCCACCAAGGTTATGAGAAAGGCTTATGACAAACACACTTGTCCTGCGCAGGAGTATCAACCAGGCGATAAAGTCTGGTTGGACTCAACCAACCTTCACCTCCCATGACCAGCAAAAAACCTAGATGACAAATGCATCAGACCTTCAAGGTAATCTCAAAGAAGAGATCCTCCACCTACAAGCTGAGACTACCACCAGGTTGGAGAATCCACAACAAGTTCAATGAATAATATCTAACTCTATACGTCTCTCTGGAGTTTTCCAACCAGGAGAAACCACTGCCACCTGAGCCAGAGCTTGTGGATGGTGAAGAAGAATACAAAGTAGAGGAACTACTTCAGGACCACAACCGTGTTATTGATCGAGGATGCAACCAAAGAACCATAACAGAATATTTGGTCAAGTGGAAAGGATATCCAGTGAAGAAAGCCACATGGGTCAAGAGGAGTGACTTCACCAATGCTGAAGAACTTGTCAATCACTACAAGAACAAGGAAGACCACATAGGGGATCACAATTTGTGACACTTGAAGAATCAGGCAAGGGGATGTATAACCATATCATCTCCTGGCTCTTCAACTGAGAGCTCAACAGTTTTGCTAGATGAGCAGGGCTATTATTCATTGGACATGGATAAAGACATCTTCAAAGATGAGTGCTCAGTGTCTCCTCTTACAACTCAAACCAACCCTAGCTCCTTAATGACTGTCAGGATGATAGTCTTAATTGGGGGGTATTATTATGACCTTATCTCTATTATCCTTATCTTATCTTATCCTTATCTCTCAGAACCCTGGACCTACCTATCTTATCTTCCAGACCTACAATACTCCATTGGCACACCTCCTACCCATTTACCTGGTTGCCATCACCCTGCTGATGACTCATCAACAGCTGCCACATCCTAGATGACTGATGAACTGCATGCACCATCATGCTTCTCTTGATGGCATCATGCTTCTTAGTGGTTGGACAGGAGTCGACCACTAGTTGAGGGCAGTCTATGGGATATGGTCTATTCAGATGGAGTTCCATGTCAATGCAGATGATATGTGCTCTTTACTCTCACTTGTTGGGAACATGCTTCTTTCAGTGTCCTCACTTCTCATTCACTATAGAGCACACTTCTCGATGCATGCACACCCATAGATACTATTCTTAGTACAAGTCTAACATGTATTTAAGCTAGCCTATGCTGTAGCCTTAGACCCCAGCTTCAGCTAAGGTTATACACTCTCAACTCTTACTGAACTCCCTGATTCGCAACTAGCTTGTCCATTATCATCCATGAGAACTCACAATGCTGTCTACCCTATGAATCACCAAACATGAGTGACACATTAGACTCATGCTTTGTGCTGTTTTGAGTTGGTGTGCTACAACAATGAAGTGTGACAGAATAGGCTCTGAGAGAGATGAGAACAAAAGTGATGCAGTTGCACCAGTGGCACCCACAATCATGGCAGATTTTGCTGAGGCCTTACTTAATGCTAGGTGGCAGTTCACAATATCAAGAGTACCCCCCTGGTTACTCTCACCTGGAGTAACCACCTGCAAACAAGGGAGTAACCTTGAGTAACCGTGTGGTAAAACCAGTATATTATATACTCTATATAACATATACAAATCTGATATCTAGCTGAATATACTGCATATTTCTCCCAATCTTAACATGCACAGGTTGCCACTAGTTACAATACATCATACAGAACACTATGTCAGCTGGATGAGCTTTATGATGGTTATTGTAAAGGAATTAAAAATATCATGCAGTCATCATCACATACTTCTAGTCTTCTCAGGCTGCATGCAGTCATGTTAGAATCATGCCAATAGGAATATGGCAGAGATTGCATGTAGCAGAAGCCACAGAACATGTCAGGCATAGGTGAAGCTATTAGCAACATCACCTCTGAGCCAAAGCCCTAAGATGAATATGGACAGAAGTCTACAGAGTGATAGAGACAAGATGAGAGATAAGTCCAATGGATCAGAGGTCCACAGACTGGAGAGCGAGAGTTTAGACTTAGAGTCAGAGAGAGAGATTGGGCTGAACCAAGTTGATATTCAAACTGAGTATCTACAGTGTAATTCTAAGGTTTATATACTACTTGAGAGTCCTATCTAGTTCCTACTTGGAGTGATCTACATTCTAGGGTGGTCAGTAGTTATAGTCTACCAGTTGGTAGCCAATGGAGTCCAATGACATACTCACTACTGATGTCAGGCTATTGATAAATTAAAATGGAGAGGTGAAATATAAAATAGAATATGAAATAGAAACTGAGAATCAGAATCCATTGGATTCCAAAATGGGTTTGTTGGAGTTAGGTTTGAAGTTGGCATTCCATCAGCATGCACATTACAGGTCAAGATCAGGCAAAGAGTTATGAGGATGTCAAATAATTACATCCACTTGATATTTTTTTTAAGGCCTGATCAATCCAACCAACTGACTGCCATGGGAACATACCTAATGAAGGCATAACATACAGTATTGGCAAGCACACTGCCACCCGGTTAGAAGCAGTTACCCATCTAGACATTGCTGGAATTCCCAAATCCACCTCATCAGCAAGCTGGCAGGACTATTCCTTCATCATCTCTATCACTGAGAAGATGCTTAACAGAATCACACAGCCAACAGCTTCAGTGAAATCTTTATTCTTCATCAATTATTGCTTCCTCATGGCACATTTGAGCTGATTAGTGCAGAAAAAATTTGATATAGAATTTTTTTTAAGGCCTCTTGAAGGCGACCGACCGACCGACCGGGTGTACCGGCTTGACGGTCCGGTAACCCCTTGAGATCAGAGAGAAAAGAACACGGACCAGGAGTATTCGACCCACCATCCATGAGCTGTGCACACATCGCTTTGACCTCGTTGGCCATCTTGCGAAAACGAGTTACACCAGCAACATCCAAAATATCGCAATCCCAGTGACTCTTAGGTGCAGCATCAGTCATAATGTTGGGATCGGGGGCAATTGCGAGAGGGGTGACGGAGTTGGTTGCCTTATCGTAGTGGTAGAATGAGAGAAGAGTTCCGAAAGCGCTGATGCCAGGGAGAGTAGGAGTGACGACATCAGAGTGGAGGTCGCGGAAATGCTCCCGCATCTGTCTGTCAGCTTCTTGGCGTTTGGAATCCAGACGAAATGATGCGGGTGGTCTGACCTCAATGAACAGGACTGAGTGTTTGTTCAATTTGACAGTGAACATGGGGACAATGTCGAAGCTATCCCGAGGAGCAGCAGGAATATGGAATTGCGGAATGATCTCAAACGGTCCATCGAGGGAAAAAAGATGATAGAGCAGACGCAATGTAAGGACCATAGGAAGCACTCTCATCAGTGGTGCTGTTATCAACGGCGGAAAGAAAGGATTTCATTAAGAATATCGGCCAAGGCTGAGCGCTAGCGTTTGCCATTCTGTTCTGCAAAAAAATGAGTATTGACCAAAGGAGCACAACTAAGTACACACCAGCGTGGAAGAGGATTAGGCTAGCAGTTGTTACTGACCGAGTTTATGAATTCAGTGCCTAATTCCCTTGCCGGGCAACTCGTCGTCAGTGGTCAACGCCCTCATGTATAACATCGAGTTTCGCACCTAGTTGCACCCATGCTCCCAGTCCAGGTAAAGGGTACGACGCAACTTCACAATCGCCCACTGTCGCCAATACCGAGTTCTGTTGTAGAAGAAAGAGGAAGCCTCTCCGTATGCCTTCGCGAGTAGACAACTGTTCATATGCAGTGCGAGGCGTCCGAGGCGTCGATTTCCTTTCGCCTTCGTGAGTCGGGCCCTGAATGAGCCAATCAGAGGGAAGCACAGCCTCTGGTTGGAGTCGAAATTAAATTTGACATCAAGGTATATAAGTGTCACCCCGGCATTCATTCTGTCTTTGCCTTTAACGCTGACCTTGGTCGCGCTGAACGAGAATTCTTCAATTCCCACTGATTGTCCAAATCGCCGTAGTCATTCCAGAACTATTTATTATGTCGACATACAACCGCTTAGGTATATTGCTCACTTCTTCAGCTCGTCAACTCGTCTAATATTGAGTTAACAGAATACCCATACGCGATGGGCGTCGTATCCGAGAAACATACACCCTATCGAGTCGCATCCACCGACAGTCATCTTTTGCCTGAAGGTCCATCTCCTTACAAGACATTTTATACCTTCTCCAACTATCTTTTAGGCTACATCGACCAGTACGGCGCTTCTACTTCCACGGGCCACCACCCCGCCAAGCCCATTGCTACGAGTACGTGTCGTGGCCCATTTTTGCTTCGCACCGTCTCATCGCTCTCTTGTGTAGCCCCCTTGCACCTTCCCTTTCCTCCCTGCATTAGCACGGCCCAAGCGCCATGCGATGTCAACAGTGTGTCTCTGCTTCACATTTGCAAATCACCTGTCTCATCACAAGATGTAGAGCCCTCTTCTTGGGTCCAGGAATACTCAATGTCCGCTGTTTCGCCATTCTTCTCTCCTAACGAAACGAGAGGGTGGTCTCCCTTCGTCTCACTGTCCTCTGAGATGACTCCAGATCGTGAGTCTAGTAATTTGCACTGGGATCATATCACCTTTCTCATCGAGTTCTTGCAGTGCTCTTCTCCTCGCCTTCAATATCAGACGACTGTCCGAACGTGTTTGATATTCAATTCGGACGTTCCCTGCATCAGCAACAAAAGCAGCGTGAACAACAACAATCTCAAGAACCGCAGCTTCCACCCCGTTTCCCCGAGCAGTTTTCCTCCCCCCAACTCCGAGCTCCACCGACCATCAACAAGTCTAATATTAAGACTTCTCCATCTTCTCAAGACAATGCTTCCACACGCCGCCGCCACCCATGCCTCATCCCCGGATGCCAGAGGCGTTTTACAAGCCAGTATACGCTCAAAGTACATATGCAGGCACACAAACCCAAGCCTCGTGTATCGTTCGTATGCACGCTCGGTTGCGGGGAGCGGTTCTCTAGGCAACACGATCGGCTCAGACACGAAGTGGCGAAGCACAACAAGGTCTGCGAGTTTTCGTGCGAGGCATGTGGGCGGTTTTTCTCCATGGCCAAGACACTGGGCAACCATAAATGTCCTGTTGCGCAAGGTGAAACGAGATGGGTCAATAATTAGCGATGCCTTCTCTTCTTTTGTGTATTTTTACATCTTTTTTTATGGTATTTTCGGGTGCGCACAAATGGAGCCAATACTTTCCAGGTCCTACCTGTCTCGTAGTTCGTGTCATCGCGTTCACTCCTATGGAGATATTCCGTGATGAGGTGGGTGTCATTAGGTAGTCTATTGTAATACTTTTTACTTGGCTCCCCTCATCCGCTTCTTCTGATCCAAGATAGCCTTTCTCAGACGTATCGCCTTGGGGGTAACCTCTACAAGTTCATCATCAGCCATATACGCAATACTCTCCTCAAGGGACATGATTCTCGGACTCGCAATGACAAGCTTCTCGTCCGCGCCTGCCGCTCGAATGTTGGTAAGCTTCTTCTTCTCGCAAGGGTTCACATATAGATCTGATGCCTTGGAACACTCGCCAATAACCATACCCGGATAGACGTTCGTGGTCGGGTGAATGAACATGATTCCACGAGCTTGCAGAGGCGCAATGGCGTAGGCGGAGGACTCGCCTAGGGACATGGAAATCAGAGAGCCGTTGCGTCCAGTGTCAATAGTGCCCTTGTAAGGCATGTAGCCTTTGAATATGTGGTTCAGAGTGCTGTATACAACAGGTTCAGCGAAACGAAGAACAGAAATGGTGGTAGCCCTCACCCCTCGCCATGGACATCATTTTTAAATTCCCCAGCCATATATCCAAGTAGACCGCGAGCAGGCACCTCCATCTCAATCCTCATGAACCCAGGCTCTGCCGGCTCGTAGTTTTTCATCTCGCCCTTCCGCATTGTGAGCTTCTGGATGACTGTACCCGCCCATTCCTCCTTGACGATTATAACGCAATCCTCGATAGGTTCAAGTTTCTGGCCGGGATTATCAGGATCAGGGATCATAACAGCTTTGGGCGGGCCAATCGTAAACTCGAAGCCTTCACGACGAAGCGTCTCAAAGAGGACGCCAAGATGCAAAACGCCACGACCACGGAGTTCCAACGACTCGGCTGTGGCGCCAGGTAGAACGCGTAGAGCAACATTAGTCTCGGCCTCGCGCAGCAGACGTTCACGAATAACCTGGCTGGTCAACTTGCTGCCCTCCTTTCCAGCGACTGGACTGTCATTAGGGTAGATACGGACGGAGATGGTCGGAGGGTCGATGGGAGTTGTCTTGAGAGGCTTGACGTCGTCTCCTGGGCTAACCAGACTGACGTTGACGCCGCCGATACCTGCCTGAATTTTGATACCAGCAATAGAGACAATCTCGCCTGCAGCTGCAACATCACGCTCTACCCTCTCCAGGCCAGCACGAGAGAAAATCTTTTTGACTTTTCCATCCCCAACTTTGTTGCCTTCTGCATCAAGCGCCCAGAGCGTGTCACCTACGCGCAGCTGACCCGATTGTATACGCCCTAAGTAGAGCATTCCAACATATGAGTCGCTTTCTATTTGAACGGTGAGCATAGAGAAGGGATCGTCTGAAGAGAGATGTGTTGGGGGCGGGACCTGGGAGAGAATCAAATCAAAGAGCGGTTCCATGTTGCCATTCGTCGGGGCTGGCGGAGGCTGGTCAAAGGTAGCCCATCCCTCCTTTGCAGAGGCATATACGACAGGGTACTCCATCTGGTCGTCGGTGGCGCCAAGGGTTGCGAAGAGGTCGAAGAGGTCGCTCTCTACCTGAGCGGGGCGACTGGTGGGACGATCAGCCTTATTGAGTACTACCAACGACCTAGACGAGTCAGATAGAGCAACGAGGAGAAGATGAAAAGACAGACTTGAGTCCTCTTGCCAATGCCTTGCCCAATACGAAACGAGTCTGTGTCATTGGACCCTCCGTAGCATCTACGACGAGCGCTACACCGTCAACCATGCTGAGAACACGCTCGACTTCTCCTCCGAAATCTGCGTGACCAGGCGTATCGACGATATTGATGAGATTATCGCGGTATTTGATGCTAGTGCACTTGGATAGAATGGTGATACCGCGTTCCTTTTCGAGATCGTTCGAGTCCATGACGCGCTCCGTGGGAGGCTCATTGGCTCCTACGGTGGAAGAGGGAGAAAGGGTACCGGACTGACGAAGAAGCTGGTCAACGAGCGTAGTTTTGCCATGGTCGACTGAAGAAAGGTCAGATAAAATTGGTGAAGAACTTGGTAGGACGTACCATGGGCTATAATAGCGATATTTCGTATGTTTTCTGTGGCATAGCAGCGACGAAATGGCAAAGAGAGATGCCTTGCGATTACGGGCAATCGCAGAAAAGCATTTCGAAGCATTACTTGGGCGTCACTGTAAAGGCAAAGAAAATATTAGTCAGCAGATCACCTTGGACTGGTACGGCGATGTCGACGAGCTCTCCCCGCCCTGTGAAGCGACGACGAGTCATGTCCAGTGCAGACGGGTTTGCAACACCAGAAATCAAGCCAAAGAGCAAACCAGCGACGCCTCGATTCCAGTCGGCATTCGAAACGACGAAACCTGTGTCCAAGAGAAAGGAAACAGTACCACCACCGCCTCCAATAACTCCAAAGCCACGCTCAAAAGCTAACCCGTTTGCTTTCGTTGTCGGTCCATCACCAAAGCTAAAGGCGCTTCAACCACCGCCTCCCCCAATCCAACCACCACAAACCCCTTCGCTCAAGCCGGCCCGACCTCCCGTGCTACCAGCCTCGAGTTCACCCCCTCGCCGCCTTCATCACCTCAATTCGATTCTCAGCTCTGACTCTGCCGACCTCGCTTCTGTATTTCTGCACAACCTCACAGAGCAAACAGATGGCGACCCAGACCTCACGCAGAGTCCTTCGAAACGAGGAAAATTCTTACGGTATGCCTCTGTCCTTGCTTCACGACTGCATCTAACAAGTTGTTGCAGTGGAGGATTGGCGTCTCACGCGTCATCACTGTTTACACGCTCCCATACCGCGTTGACTCTCTGGAAATCCGATAACGACAAGCTGGAACCAGCAATCAAGCTCGTAGTCGTATCATTCTCTCATGACGGTATCGCGTTTTGTCAGCGACAGGCGCAATTCCCATTGTCAACACCACCGCCTCTTACTCCCGTCCTTCTCTCTGGACTGACAGCGCCGCCCAAACACGGCCAAGAGTTGTTCATTTATAAACCATACCAGACACTGCCGCTTCCGATTCATCATGCAGAACCCCTACTTATTTCAGCCCGATACAGGGTATCAGCATAGATATACATACATACATGTACAACAGACAGCTATCAATATAATAGATATCACAACATAAAACATTATTATTATCAATCTACTTCTTCGCTCTCCGTATCCCCAGCAGTCAGCCGCTGAAGGCTCTCGTTCAAGACCGGTGCTGGCCCAGGCATCGCTTCTGCAAATGCAAATGCGACACCGACGCTCGCAGTGACCACACGCCATCGAGCCTCCTCTGCCAACACGACTCCGGCTAGTCGAACGACCCACCCCGTCAGTGGATCAAAACCGTCGTGTCCCCTGAATGAGACCAGATAACCTAGCAGCCCCGGAACAACAACAGTGGGGCCTGTCCATCTCCCAATGTCCATCCAAAATGCTCGACTCTGGAGTACACTTGGCGGTGGATACGGCACCTCGATGCCACCAATAGCGGTCCACGTCCACGGCACGATAACCACCAACAGCACGAAAAACTCAATCAACGCGCTCAGCAACCATACGTTCGTCGAGTTCGACATCCACGACCTCGTCTTAATAAGCACCTCCCCCTTCTTTACTTCTTCCACTCTGCGAATCACCATAGCACTCAGCCCTTTGCGCGCCGAAACAACGGCTGATATCGAACCCGCACTCGATGGAAGTGGAGGAAGAGAACTCGGCGTCGGAGGCTCGACGACGGTCTGAGTTTTCGTCGCAAAGGGTGTGATAGATTTGAGCATCACGGAGACTTCTCCCCTTCCTGGGGTCTCGACGATGGGGTCCATAGGCACCGGCTTTCGAGGTGAGGGAGGTGTCATTTCTTTCGGTGGCGCAAGGCGAGTACTACTAAAGCGTTGAGCAAAGCGCCCTGTTCTTTCTCTTTCTTTGAAGCGTACCTAGGCAACTGAGGTTGGACACTTGGCTTCCGAGCGACGGCTCCTCCACGACTCCTGACACCATATAGGCCGGCATACTGAGGGTCGCCTTCGAGCACGTCCTGATTGTTGTCTAGATGTTTCTTGATGCGTAACTACGAGAATATTAGTACATGCCTCATCAGCCTAGATAAAGGGCTGACCTGCAATTCATCTTTCGTGCCAGCATCACTGATTCCGAGAGAATTGGCGATATGTTGCAAGTCGGCCTTTTTCTTTGGCTGGAGAGATCCAGAAAACGGGGCCATAATGTCGCGTCTTGAGTGTTGAATGCAATCAACGAAGCGAAGCCACAGCACGTTTGTCCATATTTACGCGTTGATCACGTGTGCTGGCCTCCTTGAGCTTCCCATCACAACCGTTGCTTCTGCATCTTTCTCTTTCTCATCGTCGCCGTCGTCGTCCTTGCAGGTCCAAGTTTCTTTTTCATCATGCTCTCCATTCTTTTGTCGCTCTTTCTCGCTGGTCGAGGTATTCTTTCACAATGATTTGCTCTAATTTCCAATTCTCACTTGCCTCTTTCAGTTTTCGCTTTCAGCTTTAACGTAACTGTGACGCCAGCATTGGCGACCCTGCCCCCCTCAGAGCTGCTGAACTTTTCGTTCACTGGGGCAATCGACTCTTGCCAGTCGCTTTGCAACGATGCATCCACTGCGATCTCCAATTGCACTGTCTCTGCCCAGGCAGCCACTACAGCGCCGGACCCCACTCCTGACCCTGCCTCCGACTGTCTTTGCTCCAATACTACCGTCTTAGCCCTCCTCACCTGCGAGCAGTGCATCTATACTGCTCAAATTGCTGCCAATGTTCGCCCCAATGATCCTCGTGCCGGCAGTCAGCCATTGTTGGCAGGTGCGCCACCTTTGTGTACTGTTTCTACTTAAATTAATGTCTTCTAGCCTATTCCGCTTCGTGCGCTGCTGCCAAGATCAACCTCACCGCCCCTCAAACTGCCTTGACACTCCCCGCCAACTGGGATGGACCAGCCGGCATCCATCTTTCCGCCGTAGGCACCGTTTTTACAGTCATGGCAGCTACTGGCCTTGGGGTCGGAGCCATGTGGCTGTTATCTAATTTGTGAGGGGGTTAGCAGCGCTGGCGCCATAGTAGCTTTGTCTTTCATTTGTGTTGTTTTTCAACGACGACAGCTGTGTTTGAGAGTTCGTGTTTGATCTGGATCACCATCAATGTCAAGTTGCATCTCCCCATACAGACGACCGTACGCAATTGGTGAATTCACCCCCCCCAAATAACCTGGACCCCTTGACAATTGCCAGTGCTGGGGCAGGGCAACAGTATCGTGAGTCCAGGTTCAAGATGCTCCCAAGAAGCTCGTTGATGACACTAAGTTATCATAAATATGCAGCAATGTGCACAAGTTTTACTACAGGATTCCGCAACTATCATCAATCCCAGCAAAGTACCGGTTGAGCAACTTAATCTTGCCGAGGAGATCCATTGACTTGTCTAATCTTTCATCAGTGAAAGTCGAAGATTTGCCCGAATTGTCAACATATTTGTTCGTCGGATAGCTCTGGATCATCGCCAGCTGCAAGACTTTCGTCTTAGGGCGTGTCAAGATGCGAAGGAGCATCACTTCTGCGAGGACCCACTGCTGAAACAAATCACTTGAACACATCGCCGGTACAATGTGGGAAAGCGTCATTTCGACGCTTTGGAGTGAGATCGATCATGATCTTCAGTTAGAGGCGACATCTGGCAAAGAGAGAGTATGTGCATTGGTGACGGGTTTATGAATGAAAAGGGTTTTCTCAACCGGACTATGAGTTACAGCTGTTTGCATACAGCTTGACAGTAGCATGTGTTTTGCACGAGAAGAGAGTAATTTGAACTTGGTCATAAACCATGGTTTATGGACTTGGAGACGCGTTTATGGCTAGTTTATGGCGATCTCGGAGGCCCTTGTGTGTGCTTGAAGTCCCCAAAACACGGTTTATGACGAAGTCCGGGCCTTCTTCCATCATCCACAAAAAACGCCCCTAACTGTCAAGCTGTATGCAAACAGCTGTAATACTAGGAGCAGTATAAGTGTCATCAACGACTATCTACTCTGAAGCCAAGCGACAGGAATTAATAATAGCTTGAAAGCCGCACCTAAGATGCCCCATAGGGGTGGAAAATGCAATCATAATCAAAGTATCCACCAAGGATAGGTTCGTTAGATAGCCCTAGGGATCATCAGTGATATAGGATGAAGACCAAAGCCAAGGTCATCTGTTCATCGTCGTTCCGTCCGTGTTCAGCGCCGAAAAAGAGTCATGGAGGCCAAGAGCACTGCGATAGTGCTGCAGATAAAGCTGGTCAAGGACTCAGATCCCGGCCCCCTCTGTCATAATTTCGTAGACTCCATCCAGGAAAGGTGCAGAAGCAAGGCAGACGCACTGGAATAGAGCTCTCTCTGTTCGTCGACTTTTAATTTAGTTTATCGCAAACGAAAAAGCGTTCCGTAGTACGATGCCTGCACCAAGACGTACGTTCGCATCGTTACCCATAGATAGGAAAGAACATTCAAGAAATTGGATAGCTACAGCCAAGACAGGCCACAAAGCCACGACGCTATATCCATCTACGAACTGGCCGTCAAATGCCGTTAATACGCGATATGCAACTCGGAAGAAGCACAAAGACAGACAGTCTTTTGGCTTGGATTTCTGTCTGCTATAGTTAACAGAAGATGAACAATATTAACCAAAAGTACCTTCAAAAGCGCTGGGAGAGCAATATTCCCTGGGCAAGACCTGCATATTCATTGCGGGGTCACCGGCCAGGAGCCACATAATACTAAACCTGTATGTCCTAAATATATCTACGCTGATTCGTCCTGGTCAACGACTATGGTAGCTGACACTCAGATCAAACTGAGATGGACTAAGGACTTTGACATCGTGGTATAAAGGGAAAGGTCTCCGGGACGCCGGCCCGGAACATACCACCTTTTCTTCCGGCAACAGTGATTCATCATAACTTGCACCGAGGGTCGACCAGACAGAAAAGTTCCAACGTCAGTTTATGATCTCAGCACTGATAGGATAAACAAGTCAGTTGTAATATATCAACTCGATGGCTCGAACTTTACCATTGATAATGTGCGCATCGCGGATTGCAGGAACCGGGATGGTCATGCAAATGCTTCATCTGGTATCGGAAGGGCACAGATGACCGCTTAGTTGATGGCGCCTCAGCGCGTTCGTTTCACTATTTCTGTCCTCATCTACACATGCGTTCTGCGACTGGCCTGTTCAATAAGAAACGCCGATACCGTGGACTAGGTAGCTCCATCACCGCGCTGCGGACTCGAGTAACAGGGTCCGAAATATACCCGGTTGTAATGATCAGCAAGACCCAGATATAGGCATGAACGCCAAAAAAGAAACGAGTCATCAAAGCAAATACGATTCTGGTGTTACACAGCTATTTCAATTCAGCTTGGGCTAAGCCGCACTCGCAAACGCCGGTGGTCTTGCGAGGCCTTCTTTCATGAGCTTCTCCCGCCTCTTGCCAGTAGCCTCATTCAGCCTATCCAGCATCTGCACTGTTGCCTCCCAATCCACGCAAGCATCCGTAATACTCACGCCGTGCTTCAGTCCCTGGGGACCCTCGGGCGGTACGTCCTGTCGGCCATCCTTGATATTACTCTCCACCATCACGCCTGTGATGTTTTTCTCTCCTTCCTCGAGCTGTCTGCACACGTCTTCCAGCACAATGGGCTGGTTTTTGTGATTCTTTTGCGAGTTTCCATCTAAAAGTATAGTTTTAGTTCCAAGGTCAGGAGGGTGGGGAAAAAAAGACTTACGACTACAGTCAATCATAATGCTCGCGAACGCGTTTTTTCTCTTCTTCTCGATATCGGTAGCCGCTTTTCTCACATACTCCTTCTGGTAGTTGGGACCACTAGTCCCACCACGGAGGATAACATGCACGTCTTTGTTACCCTTCGTTTTGACGATGGCAGCCAGTCCCTGCTCAGTCACACCCATGAACGCGTGTGGATTGCTCGACGATTGCATAGCATCAACGGCCACGCCTACACCGCCGTCTGTCCCATTCTTGAATCCAATAGGGAAAGAAACACCACTAGCGAGCTCTCGGTGGAGTTGGGATTCCGTTGTTCGCGCACCAATAGCGCCCCAGGAGATCACTGCGATGTATCACTCCATCAGATGAACAGTACATAAAGAGGAATACCCACGATCAGCAATGAACTGCGGTGAGATCGTATCAAGTAGCTCACTCCCGACGGGAACGCCCATATCCGTAAGGTCGCACAACAGCTGCCTTGCGATTCTCAGGCCTTTGTTAATTTTGAACGTGCCATCGATATCCGGGTCATTGATCAAGCCTTTCCAGCCCACCGTGGACCTCGGCTTTTCGCTAAACCGTGATGAGATTGGAACCAGTCCCGACGTGGTAGCTCACAAGTAGGCCCGCATAACAATATGCAGATTGTTCCACTTGGGAATGTGTTCCTTGAGAAGAGTTGCATATTGGAGGGCCTGTTCAGCGGAATGAATTGAACAGGGCCCGACGACGACGAGTATTCGATCGTCGGAGCCAGCAAGGATCCTGGCAGCGGTGAAACGAGCAGCTGCGATGGTTTTTTTGGCTTGTGCAGAAGAGACAATTTCGTGTCGCAACAAGGCTGGTTGTACAAGGGGATCGTACTAACGCACGTAAGAAGGCAGATACCTAAGTAAAGGATAATGACTTACTCCTACGACCCTTCGGTCCTGAATGTACTGTTGTACTTTGCCATCATCCTCGAGCTCGGGGTTGGGGGTAACGTCATACATGTGTTTGGGAATAGCTGCAGGCAAGAAAAGGTGAAAGAAATGAAGGGAGAAGAAGGGAGACACTTACGGAAACGAAAGGGACGGGAGTCTTTTATAGCAGCAGTCTGCATGGTGTATTGACGTGTCTAGATGGTGATGGCCGTTTAGATGGAATGCAGAGTCCGTGACTCTTTACTAGTACAGCTGCTTACCAGATCCAATTAGCTCCACTAAGGCTATTGTTGTTGTTCGATCCGGTGTTTGTGTGCCGAAAATCAGCTGTTGTACAAGTTCAATCGGCCGATAGACGCGAATCGATGAAAGAGAGAAATTTTACTAGAAAATATGACTCGAAGGCTTTCTTTGGGCGGAAACAGGCGCTGCGTGATCGATGCGAAATTGCACCGTTGCACGTGACGTAAATATTTCCATGATTTCTCCATCCACGACGAAAAGAGTAACTCTCTCCCCCCAGGCAGGCTTTTGCGTCAAATCGACCACTATCGCGGAGAACGGCGGCAATGGCATGAAAGTCTTCATCAACATTGCCTGGGATGCGAATGTGCCCTCACCACCGCCTGCCAGTGATGAGGTTATCCAGCGGGCGATGCAGGGCGAAGACGACGACGGGTGGTATGTGCCCGTCGTCGTATCCGAGCCGAGGGGCGACGTCGATAAAGGTACGCATCTATCTCAGCTCGCTTGTCAACGTAATCTCAAGGCAGCATTCAGTTGGGAAACCCAGCCTAGTCATTGACTGTGTCTACAACAAATCTCTCAAGTCGCGTGTGTTGCGCGACCCCGCCTGGAAGACCTTTCTTATTGAGCTCGCCCTCCAACGTATTGAGGTCCAGAGTGGACTCCTTCTTTCACGTCGCATCGGTACGCCCAATATCGCGTCCAAGGGCAAGCTGGGCCCAAGGGAGGTGACGGTACCGGACCTCAGCACAAAAGGCAAGGAGAAGGAGACTAAGAAGGCGTTGATAGAAGAGGTCTCCACCGGCAGCTGGGCCTGGTCCAGGTCGTCCCAGTCTGATTGTATAGACATCCGGATCGCCGTACCAAATCTGGATCGCAGCCTCATTGGCGACACCTCCCTAGACCTCGAACCACGCCGGCTCATCTTGTCTGTTCCTTCCCAGCCCACCTTGGATATCGACCTTTCGATATCAGATGCAGAGCTTGCTTCGAAACATTCCCTTTCGGACGCCATCGCGCTCAAACGCCAGCGTCCGTTCAAGGTCGACGAAGCGACAGCCGAGTGGATTGTATCAGAAAAGGTTCTAGTCTTACACGCATAGCTACGTGTACACAGACTTGCAATACATCCTTGAGCTAAATCCAGCTACTATAGTACACTTGAATTCCTGAGTAAAATACATACATTGTATCGATACAGTGTGTATGAATAAAGAACTCTCACTACTGCTGCTGCTGCTGCATACGCTTCCACAGCTCGACAGTCTCGTCCAAGCTCCTCACACTCCATCCAGTCCCAAGCGACGTAGCCATCGTACTGCCAGTCGCATGCAAGACCTCTTTAATCCCCTCGTCCAGCAATCCTGCATCAAATGTGCCTTCCGGCTTCCCAAAGCACTGCGCGTACGCATCGCTTGCCAGTCCTTTCATAATTTGCATTACCGTCGACACCGGGACCATATTCCTCAACAGATACCACGCTAGCTTCTCTGCATCCCCTTTCCTTTTCAAGGACACTTTGGCACCCATCGTATATGCCGCAAACATTTCCAAGAATTGGGGATCCTTCCTGATGACGTTCAACCGCTCATCCAGCGCATGCAGTGCTCCCATCACAGTCGAATCCCTGATCAGCGGTATCCTTGGATTGTTCTCCGACCTCCCGCTGAACCTCCGGTCATAGATCCTGCTGTAAAAGTCGGCTGCGAACCGCAGATCCTGCATCCGTAGATGGAAGTACAAGTCCTGCTCTTCCATCCGTCGATACACCCAAAGCATCAAATGAGACTGAAGCGACTGTGGTTTGCCCTGCAGAATGGAATCATACAGCGCTGCATGGCAATACGAAGTGAATAGCGCCTCCTCATCCGTATCCCCGTCCCAACCATTGCTAAAATGATCAGCGAAAGACAGATACACGGGGTCGTTAGAGAACGAATTGATAAATTCGCTCAAATCACTCGCAGGATGTGACTTGGTCGTTAGCTGCGGGAAGTCCAAGATTGCGGCTTCTCCGGCTGAGCTCCTAGACCGGACGAATAAGCTCCTGCTCCCCCTCGGATCTTCTGTGTAGCTCAAAAATGCTGTACGTCTCTTCACGTACAACGTCTGACTTCGTACCAAGCTCTCTCGATGCTGTGGGACACATTCTAGGTCCAAGTGGAACGGCCAGTACCTTGGTGTATCCACACGTATGGACATTACCTTGTCCATTTCCGGAATAAGCGTAGGAGAAATCAGCTGCGTCGTCCCCGTCTCGGTCCCATCCCGGACGGTTATCTTCAGCGGCAAATAAACCACCTCCTTCGTCTCGACATCTCGCGCAATTAAACACCTCGGCTCCGCTGCTAGCACCCATAAGTGTCTCAATGCTTGCAGATAGACTTTGTTGTCCGACGATACTTGGTGGAACCGTGGGTAAAACGCAATGACCATGCTCGCGATCGCAGCATCCGATGTGCCTAGAGTGTACCTTCCCGCACCGAGGAAGAGCAGACCGATCGCCTGGTAAGTCGCGACGTGGATACCATACTTGTGCGTCGGGTGGTACATCGTTTGGTTGAACATCCCATATGCGTAACGCAACCGTCGGAACGAGGTTATTTCCCCGGTGCCAGCCATGACCATGCTCAGGGCGATTGATATCAAGTTTAGCCCGTCGCGCACGGCAGACCGTTTGATGCGGTGGTCAAAGTTGGGTCCTAGTGTCGTGTTAGCAGCTGGTCCGCTCTTGTCAGAATAACTCACCATTTGAATAAACCATCCGCGTGAAAAGATCAAAATAGCGGATGATCAACTTATAAGCCTCCTGCCTTGCCGTCCCAGCATATTTGAGCCCCACGGCAAAGCAGCACCCAGCAATGATATTGTAATACGCCAGCTCCAACGCATCATCTATAGCAGCCCCACTGTCGAACCTCAGTTTGATAGCAGCTCTGATCGTTTCCGGAATCTGGTTGGTGAGCCAGGTCGTCGTGGGTTCGATGGAGTCCCATAAGATCAACGACCTAGCCAACACCCTCGTAAGTAAGAAACTTGGTTGAATCGAATTCAATGCAAGGATGGTATCAGGCATGGGTAGCATATCCGCAATATCCTTTCTCCCCGTCCGCAGGTACATCAACCCGAGAGCCATGGTCGCAGCAGGGCATGTCAAGTTCAGATCGAATGATGGATGACTTCCCAGACCAATTGAATGCTGTTCGTCCCCTTGAATGAGGAAATTCAGCCGTCGCACCATCTCCACGTCTGCCGGAATCATTGTACCCTTTCCCAACATGATCAACCCAAAAGCCAACGCAGCAGACGTCGTATACGTCTCCCGGTACTCGTTATGCAAATCGGGCTGGAAGAGGTCCTTCCGACTGATTTCTCGCAGGCATACTTCGGCGTACCGCCGATGTTTCGTCCCGAGATACAGGAGCCCCATACCTACCAACCCAGCAGATTGCGTCATCAGAGTGATATTCAAATCAACATCCGGTGTAGGGAGCAGCGCAGGTGTGTGCACTGCAAGTAGTTTCGTCACTGAAGCATTCCCACTGCCAACATTTGCTGCAGCCAAACCCAACAATACGCCGATGGAGGTTATATCGTGTTTGGGCGTTAGATACTGAAATGTATTCCAGGCGACCATTTCCTTGAGATGACCAGAAAGTCCCAGTCCGAATAGAAAGCCTGCATGGCTTGGCGACAAGTCGTTTGGCTTGTTAAATGCAATCCATGAGCTCTCAACGCCCTTCGTCGCAGAAGATATACGAAGACCGGCAGCGACACCGTTGTGGAATTCCCCCCATTGAATAGAATCCTGATGGAGCAATTTCACGTCCGGCACCACAGTGAACGTTGTGGGGATGAATCCGAATGGTGTAGTTGACGATAGGTATAGTGTATGCCTGTCGTGAAACCTTCGATACAGAACCAAATGTAAACATAGCACGACCGTAAGCCAGTGCGTTTGTCCGTTCGGCTATCCGCAATGCTTGATGCTGGAATTCTTTGTTCTGATCCACTTCACTGTCGAGATGCGCCCTGTCAACGGAGATACAGATGTGTGCATTGAAGACGTACCCTGCATCTGGTCGATCGACGAACGGCCGGTAGGTTTGGATATACGCAGAGTTCAACAAACGCGCCACGTCTTCTAACCTTCTATCCTGTCCAAACCGGATGTCTGTGAAGTCATCCAGGTCCAGCTCAACCCCAGAAACCGCTTCGATTTCCCCAAAGGCCAACGTTCGTGCTTCAACGATTATTTGACTCATTGTTCGACGTCGTCCAGCGCTTTTCTGACTCGAAATAAGTACTTTCAATATCGAGAAACTAGACCGTTGAAACGTACCATGAAGTCTTTGATTGGCCGGTAGCCGTCTTTCGCAAGGATGTCTGGGTCATGAACTGCAGATGCAGCGACGTCCTCGCGTCCGATAGCGCGATATACAGAAGGCGGCCAATTGATGGGCGCCATAAGCTGGCACGTCCTTATGGCTTCCCTCAAAGGAGACGCCAAACCCAGAGGCAGTCGATCCAAAAATTCCGGGCCCATACCTGACGTCACCATATAATATACAGCATTTTCAGCTCGCTTTTGGCTCTGGGTAACAGTTTTATCGGCAAGGCACTTGTATACCTCCGTGAGCTTGGAGCTAGATTCGAGTGGATCTTTACGGCCAAATGCGAATGCGGGTCGTATATTAAAACGTGCCGCCATTCCCGACGCATCTTGCCATGGCACTTTTGCATCCCACTCGGGATTGCTTATTCTTCCATATAGAATGGCTGAGATATCGGGCGGCCATGCAGGAATACGGTCCTCGACATGTTCAATATCTGATGAAGAATTAGGCTTTGTAAAATAGGAAGAACTACAGACACACGTGCGCTTGATGGATACGGCCATTCCTGAGTATTGCAAGGGCATAACCGCCTCCAGTAGTCTGCCCATTCTGGACGTATTATCCATGCTATTCGACAGATGATGTCCACCAATTGTTGCAGAGAACGATAATGATCGACAGTTAGACGGAGATCTTCACCAAGAGTATGTAGGGCATACAACACAGGCGCAAGAAGAATAGGTCGATCATCCTGAAAGGCTTCAGGCTTTTCTCTGGGAGGAGGCTGCTTCAATAAACGAAGTACAGGATCATTTCGGAAACGTGACTTTGACGATGATCTGTCCAAAAGTGTCCAAGGATCAGCTTCTTTTTCTTTGCCCTTGTTCTTCTGGCGCAAAGTGACTCCACAGACAAGGTATAAACTTGTCCTTAGAGCCTTGAACTCGGTCCCATCTGTATGCCGCCTATCTTCCTTGCACCACATTAGCAGGAATATTCGATGAATAGCGAAGAACATATTTTCTGGGAGATATAACGAGAGGATCTGAAGCACCTGAATGGCCAAAAGACCTTTTGGTATCAAGTTCATGTTTATCTCGGATTTCTGTCCGTCCCTATGCACGAGTGTCACCGATGACATTAATCCTGATTCCAGGGAGACAATGTCCCCGCGAGAATTATCGACATCCATTTTTGAATCGTCTGGTCGTGGTGCTTCAATGATACGGATGGGAACCTCGTTGACTCCGAGACATAGAAGAGCAAGGGAGTGGTCGGGCTTCAGAATAAGCAAGTCATGCATTGCTGGGCGGGTCGAACGAAGGGAGACAAAAGAGACGGCGGGAATGGTAGAAATTTTGGCGGCATGCATAGTGTGATCCTCCTTTTCGGAGACTGAAAAGAGCAACGTGGATTCGCTATGTGGGAGAGAAACAGCGAGTAGAGAGCGTTCCTCGTTGCCATCCCATCGATGGTCAAAAATCGATACAGACATTGAACACCATGTCTTTGCGCTGCAGCAACGCTTGAGTAAATTTCTCGACAATGCAAAAACAGGAAGACTCACTCAGCTTCAGATATGTCATGGGTAGAAAGCTTTTGAGCCCAAAATGACGTTTTCATTCTCCCTGTTTCGGGTGGAAAGAACGACAAGTCATCCTTTAGTCTGCCGCCCAACACCATCTTGTCAAGTGTTACGCTTAAATCATGCCTATTGAAAGAATCTCTGCGTGCTTTACTGGGTGTGCTGGGCCTTACGGGATCAACAGTCGCTGCAAGAGCTGCAGGCATCCCTGGAAGCGAGGCTAAAGGACGAGTATCAGGAAGAAAAGTGTGAATTTTTGTAGGATCGCCTGGCAGGGTATCTGCAGGAGGTTTGAAGCCGGCCATGGACATGGATTGACGCTTTCGAGCCCGTTCTTTCATGAACTCACGGCCAGCGGGTCGAGGCGCATCCTTGGCTTTGATGTAAGCATACCGCCAAATGGACAATGAATGTTTGGTTTCGTCCAGAGTCACTGCGAGCTGGTAAGGAGTAGCAACAGAATGATGCGACACCCAGAGAAGGGTCTCGGAAGGAGGTGCTGATATCAGATGTGATGATGCTTTCTCGTCCTCGTCAATGAGACGTGCGGACACGTCGTCTGGCCCACCGATAATTCCTGTTGTTACACCTAGGGCTCCAACTTCGGTAATTGGGTTGACCAAGGCAAATATTGTAGGCAAGACCTCTTCTCCCGACCGTTCGGCCTCTACAAGCTCCTGGGGATGCACTTGTCGCTGAATCATGACACCGAAGGGTGAAATAGGCCACGCTCTGCGAACGATGTATGGAACGGTGAACGTGTATCTGGTGCCATCCTGCAGAAAAGCCATGCCCTTTGTACGCAGGAACACGAAGACAGTTGGAATACGTTTGACTGTTTCTGAATAGCCGGTGGGCTGCACAGAGAGAGCAAAGGGCCCAAATGGTGATCTAGACGGGCGGGGGGTAGACGTGGGATAGTTATAGTCATCCAGGCCAAAATCCGCCTTCGAAGCAAACTGTTCCAGCCAGCCAAAACATGCCCACTGGATATTCTGACGCTCGACCTCGAAATCCCATCTTTTCCTCAAGACTCCGCCAGAGCTGAGCGCAGCTGAACGGTCATTCCATGTGAGCTGGAAGCCATTCCAAGGATCGCCTTCTGATTCAAAATATGTCGACTGAATAGCATTTTTTGACTCCAGAGCTGTTCCTCGTAGTGCAGCGCGTACCGATTTCAACAGGTCGGATTCTTCATGGGATGGCTGGGGCTCCAGATGCGACAGGTATTGGTGGGCAGAGGAGCTTGGTGGTCCGTAAGCATGTACATCGACCGCCTTGGGGAGTTGAGAGAGGAGGACTGCGTTTCCTGAAACCATGCCCGTGGGAGTCACGGTGGCAGGCGGCGAGCAAGAACGCGTCGTTAAAATTTGTCCATGTTTGCCTCCCTGTATCTCCTCTCCTTCCTTCACTGCTTGCCTCACTTTTCATTACAATCATGCCAATATATGACCCTGATAAGTGGATAGAGCAGCTCAAACGATGCCAACACCTTCAGGAGGCTGAAATGAAGAAACTCTGCGAACGTGTCCGTGCAATCCTCATGGAAGAATCTAACATTCAGCCTGTCTCGAGTCCGGTTACAATATGCGGTGATATTCATGGACAGTTTTGGGATTTGCTGGAGCTCCTTCGGAAAGGTGGTGACGTTCCAGAGACAAGCTACATATTTATGGCACGTATGTGTTCTTATCGTTGTGCTAAACAGGCGTTCATGCTTTCTAGGGTGATTTCGTGGACCGGGGGCACTACAGCTTGGAGACTGTCACACTACTGCTCGCTCTCAAAGCAAGGTCGGCGCAACTTGTTGACACGACATCCCTGTAATCTCATTGCTAAGCAAGGTATCCTGATAAGGTGACTCTACTGCGCGGCAACCATGAAAGTCGACAGATCACACAAGTGTATGGATTTTACGGTATGCTAATATATTTTCGTGATTATGTGGCCTTACCATTTAGTAGACGAATGTCAACAAAAGTATGGGAGTGCGACAGTATGGAAAGCTTGTTGCGGTGTCTTTGACTACCTCAACCTAGCCGCTGTTCGTTTTCTCCTCCTTCTGTTCTTCTTTCCATTTGACTGCCGGTAGATCATTGACGGCGAAACATTGTGTGTACATGGCGGTCTGTCTCCCGATATCAGAACTTTAGACCAAATCCGGCTTCTTTCCCGAGCACAGGAAATACCGCATGAAGGCGCCTTCTGTGGTAAATTCCCATGTCAATCGACAATATAACGCCATCTTATGTTATCACCCTAGACTTAATGTGGTCAGATCCTGACGATGTAGACAATTGGGCTGTGAGTCCTCGAGGGGCTGGGTGGTTATTCGGAGGTTCGGTTGCACAGGAGGTCAGTGATTCAATTCTATTCATGTTCCCTCTTCTTACAGACCTTCCTCAGTTCAATCATGTCAACGACCTCAAATTGATCGCCCGAGCTCATCAACTCGTTCAGGAAGGCTACAAACACATGTTCGACCAACAACTCGTTACCGTTTGGTCAGCACCGAATTACTGCTACCGGTGTGGAAATCTGGCTTCGATCATGACAGTGCACGAAAATGGAGAGAAGTCATTCACTGTGTATGGTCCAGCTGAAGAAAATGCACGAGACAAAGGCATGACAACACGACGGATGGTGCGTCTTTACTTGATCCATCGGTCTTCGTAAACCCACATTTCTTTCAGAATACCAACATTCAGTATTTTGTATGATACATTTTTACCAATACATTCATCTTCTAATCAGATACACCGGGTTACGAGGTTTGGGTGAGTTTGGGGCTATCAACGTAGAAGAAGTCCATGAGCTTCTCCAAGCCCTTGTTACCGCCCAATCTAGCTATCTCAGCTCGTGTTTTCTTATCTAGCAGGTCCATTACGCTAAGAGTGTAGTCGAATGACTTGGTGTGGTCCTTGAGATACGATATAACGTGGTGTTTCAGCGTTGGAGTGGTAGGACGCTTTTGTAATACATCTAACAACGTTAATGGGTATCTTTGACTGGTAGACGCATCGAGGGAGCAACGTACTGAGGACTTGTCTGTTCGTAGTGTCTGCATGGATAGCATGAACAATGGGGAAAGAGAATTTCCCCTCGGTGAGGTCTTCAGCGAAACCTTTATTGGTGCTGTACTATTAGCACAATCAGCTGTAGCAAGTAAGGGTCACCAAATAATAACACACCTCAGGGCTTTGCAAATTTAAAAGGTCATCGCGAATTTGAAAGTAGACGCCGATGAGGTTGACCAGAGGAACATAATCACTTCAAACGGCATGCCAGTGAGCGCTCCAAACAAGAATCTGCTGGGGACTTACACGTCAGTATTTGTAGTGGCGCAAGCCATCATCAACTTGATACCTATTCGCAACAGCCCACCAGTCTCTAGAAGATGTTCAGCTCAATGTCAATTCCAGTCGCTAAACGTTCCTCACTGTTGTTCACCATCCCGATGTAATCTTCCTCAGTGGGACATCTCAGAGAGTCTCTCCATTGCAACTCAAGACCTTGACCTCGATGTAAAGACAAAAGCTCGGCTGCGAAATAGTTGAATAAGCCGGTGTTGATTAAGGCAGATCACTCACCAGTAACAATTGCATCCAGATCAACATCTCTCGACGTCCCGAAATTTCCGGCTCTTCGAAGTGCATGGAGCTCCTCGTAGGCGAGGAAGTAAACATAATTTGCGGTATTAATTGTTTGAGGAATCCCATAAATTTTATGGGCAACTGAGGCGAAGATGAGCACACCCGGATGGTACAATACCGATATACCCTTACCAGGCCGTCCCCTTCTCAGCTGAGAGTCATCTTCTATATCATCTACCCTAGCCATTGGTCACGGGGCGTCGCACACCAAAGGATCTCGAACGTACAGAAGACTGGCGTTGTGCAGCATATTTACTATACGGGAAATGACTTTGGTCTTTTCCTCTGGAACATTGAGCCAAATGTTGAATGCCTCAATCAGTCTGCTACGCATGTCTTTTCCGGGATTTGAGGTGATGAACGTAAATGGTTCCAACAGCTCCTGCGTCTTCGTTTAGGTCACAAATCTTCGAATCTGTCCGGATCCGCTCACGGTTTCATGCTGGCCTGACCACGAAGGCTTACTAGATAATTTCTCCAGAAGATCTTCGTATATCAAAAGAGACATGGTGGTGAATGTCAGAGATTTTTGTACTCATTTTACACTACCACAGCACGTCAATTTACAGCTGTGCATGATGTCAACTATCCTCCGGCGTAGATAGCTCAACTCAAATGGTAGATGGGATGCAAATGGTTCATATGCGGCAGGACAGAAAAGTATACAAAGAGCGTAGAAACATAATCTTTCGACTTTATGCCTTGCCCGCAGCAGCAGCCGCCTTTGCATCTTCCGCAGCAGCGACGGCTGGGTTGACCTTTTTGCCATCCTTCCACCGGACTCGTGGGGGAGGAGCACGGTTGCGACGGCCCTCGCGAGATCGCACACGGACAACTGTGTCACAGATCAGTTATCAATCTCCGTGGCACAGGTACCTCAGAAAAACTCACCGTGGGAGTGGATAGCGCACGACACACAGTAGCAGATTTTAATATACAGCTTGGGGATAGCGTATTCTGCAAAAGAATGGTTAGGAAAGACATACAAGCAGTAAAAGCACCACTTCGCACCTGGGTAAACGCTAGCCTCGCTGATATCCCGCACGGCAGCACTCTCGACCATGTTCCTCACTGTGAATCGCTTGATAGCCTTGTCCTTGGCGACGCAGCGAGAGCAGTTTGAGCAGCGCATGAAGGTGGTGTGGCCGCGGCCCTTCTTGTTACGACCGCCATTTCTTCTTTTCTTAGTCTGGACAGCAAAATCGCGTCAGTTCGCCATCCTCATCCTGTCAGAAAACCTTGCATCCAGCCCAATTCGCGATCCCACATGCTCGCATTTATGGGCAGGAGGTCCAGTATGTGTCCAGAGACGATGGATGCTCACCATTTTAGTTGTCGGGCGTCTTGAGACTTGGAGTGGACGATGGCTAGCGACGTCGAGTGAATTCTTGGGATGTGGACTGAAAGTTCTCACGAATTCGGTATTTCCCGAGGAGCGGCCCGGATTATTTTTATTTGAATAAATATTTCTTGTACCTGTTCATGAATGTCGTCCGGAATCGACTAGTCTTCCCCAACTTTTGAGACGCGTAATACGACATGGACAGCGACAACGAGGCCTACGAAAATGCACCACCGACTAAGCGGTTCAAGGCAAGATGATCACCCACTTTTTTTTCTGTCCCTCTAACCAACTTTCTCGTTTCCAGTACCAGTCATACAGTAAGAGTCTGAAGGCTGTCCACCTTCCCTCAGCCCTAGAGCAATCGCAAAGGGACCATGACTTTGAAGTACGTCTCTCTCATTCGCCCACGACGTCTCCTTTAACAGTACGACTAGGATTCCGAGTCTCATTTCCGAGATGCTTTATCCCACTGGAGACAACTAAATCTTTCTCCCTCCTTCATCACTTTTGCAAACAAGGCTTCATCTCTGTCTGCTTCTCTCCCTCTGCTGCTTCATAACTCACGCGAGGTCGTTGAATTGTGGATTTCAGCTCTAAAGAGCTCCGATGACGAGGGTTTTAAAGCTCTGCTGGAGTGCGTGTTGCCATTTTCTACTCATTTTCGCATCTAAAACTTGTTTAGCCTTCTCCAAAAACTGATTATCGATCTTCGGTCCACATTGTCACCTCTCTATACCGATATCCTACAGGAACTGCTCGCTCTCCTCCCCCGTTCCATCTCAGCGGAGGCTCTGACAGTGTTGTTGTCGACCTTCTCCCTGATCTTCAAACATCTTCTTGTCACATCAACGGACTCGGACTTACTTGAGCAGACCTGGACGGCCATACGCAGTATATTACCAAGATGCCTACCAGAGATCCAGAGGGCCATGGCCGAGGTTTTAGGCGCTCTTCTAAGGAGGCTAAAGGTCGCATCACGGGAGAAGATAACGGCACTTGTCGCCGCCGATGTTACGGGGATTGACGACGCAGCAGCGTGGCTATTTGTGTGTGCGTGCAAGGTACGTTTTCCCTCCTAGCTTGTACTGAGCTCTTCACTTACCTCAGCCCATTCTAGTCTGTGTCACAAACCCTGCACACTGCTACCCAGTCTATCATCAAGCCATTATTGGCGTTCCACTTGTCATGCGAAATCGCTGAGCCCACATACACCCTACTTCGTCGCATCCTGACAGCCCTGATACATCACGTCAAAAATAGCGAAAAATTCTCACCAATCGGTGACCTACTCGTCTCTACCTTCACCGATTTCATGTCGGAGACAAACTCAAATAACCTTGAAGGGCGCAGACGTGTCATGGAAATATTGTCTGTGTCATGCTCAGTGCGACAAGGATCTCGACATACAGGTAAGCTATCCTCCCCTACTCAAAGTCGCTAAGGTCATAACGTTGCTCCAGAGAAACACCTATCGCAGCTATTGACAGTAGCGAATTCAGTCCCAATTACCGAGGAAGTCCGACTCTCCTTACTCAAGCTTTCCGCTGCTGTGCTAACAGCTGGGGATATGGCCCTGTCAATGGGACTAGGGCGTCGATTCTTGGAGCATTCTTGGGACCATCCCGTGTTCGCCATGGAGCTACATGGAACACTGGCCGATCTTGGCTGGGGAGGATGGAAGATGATTGCGCTGCCCACTCTGTTGAAGAAGACATCCCTTCTTTTGGAGACAGAGCCCGGTCGCACGCTACACCTTCTATCTCTTGTGCACAAGGAGAAAAAGCTCGGTGAAGTCGATTTAGTGTGGAAACAACGCGTCGAACAGTGGGTGAAAAACAGACTCCAAAATTGGGTTATGTCTCGAGAATCAGTAAGTTTTCTACGTTCTTCTCGAAGAATGCCTTTTAATGAGTTCGCAGGCTCTGGAACTGCAGTCAATCCTCATCCTTTCAGGATACTTCTCCGCTGAAGTTACCCCGCTGATCATCAGCATTGTTGACTCATTATGCAATGCCGATTCCGAGACAGCCACCCGAAACGATAGCTTTCCGTCCCCGTCTTGGGTCCTTGGACTATGCCTACCATATCTGTCAAAGCGGCCACAAGAGGAACTTAGAGAACGTCTTCAGCTGAAGGTATGGACACAAAAATGCGTAGCTAAGTGGTATTGGTCGCCTAGCGTCATCAGCGGGCTCGTTTCCCTTGCAAACCAGAGGTAAAGCACGAGTATACTTTATGGACTATTTCTTACAGTTTGCCTTACTATAGTGATGGTGATGCTGCCGATTTTGAAGAATTGTATCTGTTTTTGCAGAAGTCGATTCTCTCGCACGACTCACAACTACGCTTGAGCGCCTTGCGTCTTCTTGCGTCTCCTGCAATCAAAGTTCCAGGTCCTGTCCTGGAGGTCGTGAAATGCTGTCTTCAAAGTGAAGAAGTGTCGTTGGACGTTCAGGGTGTCCGAGAACGTGTTTTACGTATGGGTAGAGTAGGACAAATCGTGACGGACGGGACCAGAGGGCCAGACTTGTGTGTCCGATGGCTAGTGGGTGTGTGCCGACAGTCTATTTTGGCAAGGGTAGCTGGCTGATATATAATTTCCTCTTAGCTCAATTGAAAGTCAATCTTAGACCCCTTTGGTCGCCAGCCGCTGGGGCAATAGCCTCTCTGACTCAGCAATTTGGCGACGATGTATGGGCTATTCTATTCAGAGAGGTTCAGGAAGTGTCTCAGCCTGACTACTGGGATATTACGACGTCTTCAAATGATGATGTACCCGAAGGAGGTGACGATATATGGGAAGAGGAACGCTCGTGGAGAGATCCTAGTGCTCATAAGTTCAGATTATCAGTCTACCAATGGTCGAGCAGCTCGCCGATTCCTTCGAAATCATCACAAGTGCGTATCAGTATTTTTTCGGTGTTTTCCATACTTATCTCTATGCAGTCTTCGACTGTCCGTGGAAATTTAGATGTTCGTTCCTACGAGATGCAGCTCGTGACAACATTGGGGCAATGCTCTTCGCTTGCTGAAAAGCACAACCATGCTCTCATCTCGTATTTCTTTTCCATCATCGACACAGATACCAGGTCCAAGACGCCACGACAGAAGCTCGCTCTCTGGCTAACTCTATTCTCAAAGTTCACCAACCCCAAAGCCCTTTATGCGACCGATAAACTTCAAGACCTCTATTTTTCCCTTCTGTCACATCCCGATCGTTCTCTCCAATCTGTCGCGCTATCGTGCATTTTGACTTACAAATCACGCTCACTTGCTCTGTACGAAGACAAGCTTCGACTTCTGTTGGATAATACGCGGTGGCGCGATGAACTTACCTCGCTTAATCTCGCTGAGATTGAACCCCATGACCGCCCCGAAATTATTGACGTGATTGTGAGGTTACTCTTTGGAATAATGCTCGAGAAGAAGGGCCGTTCGCGGGGTTATGACCGTCGGACAACAATTTTGGGGGTACTAGATGGTTGCACTGAAGAGGAGCTAGGGCTGCTGGTGGATCTGATGGTGAAGCCTTTCGCCGCTGACAGGCATTCTCATCAAGGGCAAGTGTTCATTGTCCAGTCCATGGGGCAGGTGTTGGAGAAACAGCAGATGGGATATTTGACCCTTCTCGACGACCTGCTAAAAAATCTTGGACCGCGATTGACATTATATTGGCCTTCGTTGTTGGGCACCGTAATCAATATCGTGAGCGGCGCCCAGACGAAGTTGTCCTGTTCAGATCAAGCAGTCGATAATTCTGACGATGGAGCTGGTGATCCGGACGAAGAAATTCTGGATGATTTACCAGTGGCGAAGGCGACCCGGACTATTCGACAGCTTGGAATCAAACGCTTCTCGGATTTCTTCCGATGTCCGGTATCTTTTAACTTTGAACCCTATTTGCAGGCATCATTCAGCTCATTCATTTCCCCGCGGATACCATTACTTGACAAGGAAAACACCCAATCTCCTTCCGCTCTTCTGGAGCTTTTCTTCGTATGGTCAAAATCTGTCGACCATGCAGTGGCCCTTGTTCGCTACGACATACAACTCTTACCGCAGATATATAACTGCCTCATCGCTACCAATGTGAAACCAGCAGTTGTGTCAAGAGTCCTTGACATCATTGGAAGGCTCCTGTCTCTTTCTGCTGAAGAGCCGGCGATTCTTGAGTCGATCCTGAAACCCCATCTTCCTCTTCTACTCACCAACATGTCAATATTGATTGAACGCAAGAAGGGCTCCGAAGATCTGTTGGCGGAAAGACAAATTACTGTTCTTTCTCAGCTTGCGCCCTACTCAACTAACGCCGATGAGGCCAAAATGCTACTCCGTCTTTTCACCCCCTCGCTTCGTAAATCATCCAAAATGGTTCCTGAGAAAGTCAAGACTGACCTGCTCACTATCGTCAGCCATCTCATACCATTAGTCCCAGAGTTGAAAGACGACTCCTCTACAGAATACAGCAAACTGTATGAGGCTCTATCCCAAATGTTCCAAAGCCTCCGGTCGCGGAATGCCCGACTCAGTCTTGTGACCGCATTCCAGAGTCTTGCAGCAGGCAGCACAACCTTGCAAAGTCTCATCAGGCTCTTAGAGTCGTTAAATTCTTATTCAATAAAGCGTTTGGACGAACCTGATTTTGACCGTCGTCTCAAGGCATTCACCGAGCTGAACGGCAGCGTGTTTATCACTTTGACATCCGGTGATTGGGCTCCTTTCATCTACCAGTCCCTCTACAGCATTCAGGATCCCGACGAGCTTGCTATACGCAATAGCGCAGCCCATTCTATGCGGCGTTTTATAGATCGTGTAGCCACCGGTGCATCAGATTTTGTTGCGTCGTTTTCACGGATCCTATTCCCCGGGTTAAAGCACAGTCTCAGGTCTAAAAACGAATTAGTCCGAGCTGAGGTTCTGGGTGTGCTGGCGTATGCCGTCACGACATGCGAAGATAACGCTACTGTCCAGGATATGCGGATACTATTAGCAAATGGTGACGAAGAAGCCAACTTCTTCAACAACATCCAGCACGTCCAGATCCATCGAAGATCTAGAGCACTTCGGCGCCTAGCCGATCAGTGCGATGAGCATCCCCCTCGCAGCAGCACACTCTCGGGCATTCTCATTCCATTAATCGCACATTATCTTGTTCCTACCTCGCCTGCTAACCATCACTTAGTCAATGATGCTATCACAGCGGTTGGTCGACTAGCAAAGCACTTGGCATGGGGTGCATACTATGCCCTCATTCAGTCATACATGCGTTTGTCCAAAGCTAAAGATGAGTCTGAGAAGATCTACGTTCGCACTCTTGTTGCACTTCTCGACAACTTTCATTTTTCCATGGATGAACAGGCATCATCAGAAGGCGCAGAGGATAATGAGGCTAATGAAGACGAGCCCCCCGACAGTTCAAAACTCTCAAAAAATAACTCTCGAATCTCCGATGCCGTTAATAATCGCCTCCTTCCCGAGCTTCTGAAATTCATTGAATCTCGCGACTCCACTACCGAGGACACTACACGTATACCGATCTCCATTGGCATTGTAAAAGTAGCCCTGCACCTTCCTCCATCTCTGGGTGAGCCTCAGATAACCAGGCTTCTTACCGTGACCTGCCAGATCCTTCGCAGCAAGTCTCAGGAGACGCGTGATGCAACGCGTGACGCTCTGGCCCGCATATCAGTGACATTGGGACCGAAATACCTTCCCCTGATAATTCAAGAGCTGCGTGGGGCACTTTTGAGAGGGCCTCACTTGCACATTCTTTCCTACACAACACATGCGCTACTTGTTCATATCACATCGCCAGAACATGCTTCTGTCTTTCATACACTAGATGGTTGCGTGAGCGGCGTCGCCCATATCTCCGCTGAAGTCATATTCGGTGAATCGGGAAAGGATGTTCGCTCTGAGGATTTCAAGACAAAGATGCGAGAAGTGCGTGGGTCGTCGTCTAAAGGCATGGACTCGTTTTCAATATTGGCAAAACACGTCACGCCGCCGTATATTAGCGGTCTCCTTTCGCCATTGCGTTCCATCATGAGGGAAACAGAGTCGGTGAAAGTAATGCAGCTGGTGGATGAAGTAATCAAACGCATTACAACCAGCCTTAACGTGAACACGCACTTAACACCGACGGAACTTTTGTTACTCAGCCACACTCTGATTACTCAGAATGCCCAATTCCTCAAAGAAGCTCCTTCGCGTAAAAAGTACAAAGCCAAAAGTCAAGGACGATATCGCTGTTCAACTGAAGCGGCAGGTTGCGGTCGAGAATGACCACTACAGCAATAATTCCTATCGGTATGTCATCTTGATCTAAGACCTAATAAGGCAATATCTAATACATTTTTCCTCAGTTTCGTCGTCTTTGGTCTTGAATTGTTCAACACAGCGTTGCGACGGAACCGCTTTGATTTTAGGGACACGGGTATAATATCAAGGCTTGAGTCAATGGTCGTGGCGATTGGGAATACTCTATATTCGACCAGTTCTCCCGTCTTGATGTCAGGAGTCAGGTGTGTGGCTGGATTGGTCAAATGTCCCTTGAAATCTATGGACAAATCGCTTCCGGTTTTCATCAAGCAGATGCTCGATATCGTCCGGTTAGCTGGAAACACGGAGTCGGAGCTTGTCCAAGTAGCTTTGAAGTCTTTGGCCACCATCATACGTGATGGACCGGCAGTAGATGTGAAGGAGAAAGACCTCGTGTTCTTGCTCGAAATTCTTTCTCCAGATCTCGAAGACCCTTCTCGACAAACAACGGTGTTTACTATGCTTCGCGCTATAGTATCTCGGAAATTCGTGGTGCCCGAGATCTATGATCTGATGGAGAAAGTATCAGAGACAATGGTGGCCAGTCAATCTCCGCAGGTTCAAGAGCTTTGTAGAGGCGTGCTTCTTCAGTTTTTGTTGGACTATCCACAGGGGAAGGGGAGAATGCGCAACCAGATGACGTTCCTTGCGAAGAATCTTTCCTACGTTCACGAAAGCGGAAGGAAATCTGTCATGGAGCTCCTGGGTGCTGTGATAGCGAAATTTCAATCGGCATTGGTGTGGGAGTATGCTGACCTGCTTTTCGTTGCACTTGTAATGGTTATCGCCAACGACGACTCTGCGAAGTGCACCGAAATGGCGGCTCAGCTGGTCAAGTCGCTATTGGGACGATTGGATGATGAGCGACGTGACGTCATTCTTTCACACCTGCATTCATGGGCTTCACAAGAATCGCAACCTCGCCTTACACAGGTCGCTTCTCAAGTATACGGCCTTTTTGTGGATGCATTGCAGACCGCGGCTTCCCCCCATATTCCTGCCATTTTGCAAGATACAAATCTTTCTTTACGGAGGTCAGCACATGTGCTTTTGCATGCAGAGGTCGACAGCGATGTGATGGAAGTGGATTTGGATTGGCAGACACCGTATCATTCCTTAGTTGTTATCTCCAAAGTCATACGCGTCTTTCCCGACCTGACTTCACAACCCGATACCGCTCCGTGGCAGGACATAGTCACGCTTCTTCTCTTCCCTCACGCCTGGGTTAGGACAGCATCCTGCCGTCTATTAGGATCCTTCTTTGCCACCAGCCCCATCCATGCTCCTGTAGATTCCGATACCTTGTCGGTATTTTCAAAGTCTGGTATGATTGACATATCAAAGAAGCTGTGTCTCCAGCTGAAAAGCCAGCATCTGGACGAACTATTGAGCTTGCAGTTGGTGAAGAATCTATTTTATATCGGGAAGTGCTTCGCTCTCTCGTCGCCAGTTCATGAGACCAAAGACGACGAGTCCACGGCTGATTTGGATGGAGTCGGAGAGTCAGAAGATCCAGAAGAGACACCGAAACAAGACAACCCTCTACCATGGTTGTTTTCGAAGCTTTCATATCAGGTCAGATCTGCGCATATCACTCGCCGAAACAGACACAATCAGGTACCTTGATACAGCATCTTTACACGGTATTATGGGCAACTAACAAACCTCGTTTAGCCCAATTGGCACCATCAACCTCTGTCCGTCCTCAGATGGTTCGCCGCGATGGCTTCCTTCTTGGAACCCAAAAGACTTGAGATGTTTTTGGTGCATATCCTGTCACCTGTGTATCGAATCATCGAAGACGATACGATTCGTGATCAACAAATGGGTACTTCCTTATATTCATATTTATTCGACGCCAAGTTAACTTCGGTTTTAGACGAATTGAAAACACTAGCTACGGAATTGCAGGACCTTGTTCAGTCCCGAGTAGGCCCTGGTGCATTTTCGGCGATATACAACCAAATACGGCAAGGTGTCTTGGGTGTTCGAAGAGAACGGAAAGCTGTGAGGGCCTTGCAAGTGGCCACTAATCCTGAGATGGCATCCAAGCGGAAGCTTCAGAAGAATATCATGAAGAAGGACAGTCGCAAGAGGAAGGGCGACATGTTTTCGTAAGTCGCATTCATGCCCATGTTGAATAACTTTAATTGAATGTTTTTTCTTCAGTGATAGGAAAGGCAAAGTAAAACGGCATCGTTCATAGCGAGTTGGATAAGACGGTATATATTCTTGACCACTGTATCTTAGCTCATCTTGCCCGATTTATTAATTAGTAGAGCAGGTTCATTAAAAACCTCATGCGGAGGCAAGCTCAGACTAATGATTCAAGCTGATACAAAGCCCGAACACTGTAATGAGTAGAAAACAAATCCGGGTGCAGTGAAAACTAAGAAAGCAGCTAGGAAGGTATCTAAAAGATGTAGGTGGAGTGCAAAACGGGCGAGGCTAGTTGACAATCGGGGATCAAAAAGAGGGAAGACGTTATATTTTTACCCGCGGCTGTCGGTGTCTGTGGAGAACAGTCCGCGTCCAATGTACGACAGAGACCTTCGTAGTACGTGGTGGCGCTTACATCCCTAAAAGCCCTAAGCAAACATCGCGTGAAATTTCCGTGCAAAATCCCACCAATCGTTCCATCTGTCATCGACACCTCCCATGCAAGTTCGATACCAATCATAACTAGGACCACCCATGACCAGAATCAGGACGCCGCAAATGAGGACCGGAAAAGTGGTTGGTTCGAGCAAAGAATAACTACCTACAACTACTCGCCATGTTGGAAAGCAAAGCAACATAGTTAATGTCGCAGAGGCATGGCTCAATTTTCGTTGTCTACGCCAAATCTGGCTTCCAAGATGGCCACTATTGTACCATGCACCTGCCTCTTATGTCACGGCTAGAAATGCTTCGGGTAGCTTACTTCATTTCCATGTCCATGCAAGTCTCTCCTTGGGCGCTTAATTGCGTTGTTCGGATCTCCGAGAAATTCTTCTGAGTTCTTTTCCTTCAAGCTCCTAACATGGTCAAAGCACAATGCAGAAACTAAAAGCAACAAGTGCCTCACTTGGTGAGAGACTGAATGTCACCTCATGTTAACTAGACGGACATTCACTGGAAGGAAATACAGCTGAGGTTCGCAAAGTACGTAGTTCTGTTTTTACCGCTATCGCTCTAGGAAACCGACGTCCTAACACCTACGAATACTTTGCTGGGGTATCATCTGATAGCCAACGATTGACAGCGCATGCCGATACTGTATAATAGGGTTAATCACAACAAGAGATAGAACCTTCACAGATTCGGAGTGCTAAACAAGAAAGTTAATGCGTGCAGGTACAGATGAAAGGCGGACACAACGCAGCCTCTTCAAAGCCTTTCGGCAATCTTTATCCCAGAACTGAGAATAAGGATCCGCACCGTACCATGGCACCACCGGTACCTTGTAGAACATGTAAGTAAAATACGTTCCGCATATGTTCATTGTGATTTACCATTCATGGTAGGGCAAATGCCGTCGAAAGGGTGCAAGAAAGGAGTGTACGTGGATTAGAGTATTTGACACAAAGGCAGCTGTTCAACGCGAGGGTCGAGGGTGAAGCTTGGGTATGATCGACAGGCTACAAGAGCGAACGGGCGCAGAAAATCACTGCTTTAAATTGGTAAAGGAGAGAAAGCAAAGGTGAAAGCAAGGGGTGATCATGTCAATCTAGGCAGTGAATACGCTTCTGGACATCGTCAGGTAACATCTTGACCGCTTCTGTTGCCGTTGTGGGTAGACCCTTTTCCAGCCATAGCTGCCGATATTTATCCACAGCCTCGTTTGACATAGACTTTCTCTTTGGCTCAATTTGTTGCTGATGATCCTTATATACGTCGCTAAAGAACTTTGCGAAAACGTGAGACAGCATGCTATGTCCGACCGCGCACGGGGCGTTGGGTGGTATCACCTTGTCGATGAAAAATTGCGGTGGCAGGCGTTCGGGATCATAAGCAAGGGCACCGATATACGTGGATGGAATTGTGACTATTAGAGTGAGACGGGAGGTGCGAGCAGATCTGGCAAGAAACTCACCGATCTTGACCCAGAAAAACGCATCATCAGCAGCAGCGGTAAGAAGAGCGCAACCAATGCCGCCTTCGGGCTCTCTGCCATCCTCGCCATACCATTGCCCGTTGGCATGACATTCATGATATTTGACGTTGTGCAAGTCCATAAAACGGTATTCAATCCTGCCGTCGACTTTGCGTTCGGCAATTTTATAAGGAGAGATCTTGCTGGGATGGGCGTGACACTCCATGTGCATTTTACCAAGTTGCTCGAATAAGTAGAAACTGTCGCAGAGCATTGAAGCAGCAGGTACTTAGTTGTGTTGGAGGCACTCACATTAAATCATCGTCAAGGTTCATGAGATGGTCAACCTTGAGGTGTTCGCCGCAATCCTCCAGTACAATGCATGTCACAGATCTTCTCTTATTCCGTATATACCTGGTTTCTGTTTCCGTCCTAAAGCACCCATAGAACTTGGGAATAACGACGCCCTGCAGTACGGAAAGGGTGTTGTAGTTTCGTGCCTCGTTCTCCAAGTCATTCAATGCCTCGCCTTTCCGGAACGTGAATTTCAGAACAAAGCTTCCTTGGTCTTCAGACACTGCACGGTAAATGGTGGCATGCTCGTTGACGCGTATGATACTGGTGACCGTCAGTTGCTGAGTTAGCCCGGATTTTGCGGATCCTGACAACTCTGGTACGCGTTTGAAAACAAAATTTTCTGTCGCCTGGCAATCCAAGTTGTAGACAATATTGGGAGGGCGAATTCGAGAGTAAATGTCAACTGGAATGTGAAGCGTGAACGTTGTGGACATATTGATGTCAAGCAATTTGAAATCGCCCCTCTCGTCCTTGAGCCTGCCTCGTGGTAAAGTTGACTGCAGAAATTCCCTACTCCCTTGTGCTAGGTAATTCGTCTCGTAGTCATTAATTAGACTACTGTCAAGGGAAAAGTCATCTAGCAGCCAAAGTAACTTTTACGAGTCGTTGGTCAAATCATCCGTTCTAGTGAGTTTCCATCAGTCCCGAAGACTGATACACCTAATCCGATATCGAATACTTGCGAGTTATAAAACTTATCTGAAGTAATAACTCATCCAATAAGTCGGCTAGTACCCCCCGATGACAGTCCAGCGAGGACACTTTCAAGCAAGACTCTCGTACATTGTGACCTTAAATACTGTGTATCTGTGGCGTGATAGATAGTATAGTTACGCAGGGCGTGTCAAGAGAATCCGGTTCTTATCGTTGGATTGAATATGGGTAGCGGATGCGCCTCTGTGTTGAACACATACTCTGTGACAAGTCTTCAGGAAAATAGTTTGCAACAATAGCATGGAATACATACTATCCAGAGATAACACATCTGCGTCATCGAAAAGCAGATACAAGTACTTCAAGGTTTCGCTCTTAAAAAAAAAGATCATCAGCAAAGACTAGCTTCCGTAAAAAGTCACAAACCAGCAAGAAGGTTTCCATCTTATCCTCAAGCCGTACGGGAACCTCGTCTACGTTGACAATCGTCGCATATCCACCTGTCTCAACCTTGCAATACTTTTCAATCGACTGGAAAATGCTCCAGCCGAAATCCCGGTACTTCTTGTCACCCGAGAGTCGGTACGCCAGGAAAAGCGACTCCACCGTTTCAGGGCTGATAATCAGTTAATTCAAAGAAATCCGAAAAGCCCGGCCACGCACCGTAACATGTAACGAGCGTCGTAAGGAGGGAAAGCACCCGGTCTGAGGGAGATACGGCAGTGAGTGAAACGAGATGGTCCCAACTCAAGGTTCAGTCGTACCTAGCGCCTTTGATGTACCAATCGGAAGGAGCATCAGCCTTCTGATCCATCCCATCGCTTGGTATTCTGAAGTGTACGATCTCTGGTGCCAATCCACTGGGTGAGGTGAGCGCCTTGGGGTATGCAAGTAACAAGGCACATACGTAGCGGTGTCATGAGTATCCATGCAAGTCTTGATAAGAGCAGTTCCTGATTTCCAGTCCCGTAGCCCCGTAGGAGTGAGCTCCTGTTCTCTCGGAGGTACGGAGATGGTGTCGAAAAGAGCACCCGTTGTAGTTGCCCCAAGCATAAGAGATCCTCCAATGAAGCAGACCAGATGATCTTGTTTGGGAGTCAACCGCCAAGAACTGCGACCATCAGACTACAGGAGTATAGTTGAAATTTATCATAACACGCACATGTCGTTGTTTTTGTTACGCTCGGGTATTAGCTCCGCCGTGTATATCATTTTGGTACTGGCGCTCTTTTGAATGAGGTACTGATGAATTCCCTGCATAGTGCTGTCATACATCTGCATAAAATTCAGCGCATATTTCGGCGGTTGATCAGAAATGGTACCTCGCGGTAGACATCCTCTGTTCGGTTCTGTAGGGCGTCAGAATGAGTCAACGATAGCAGTACATACACCCACAGTTTGGAGATATTGCTTTCTGTGGCGGGATCAATGAGGAAATGATATTTTTGAATGACCCACTTACAGCAAGTACTCGTAGTAAGAATCACCCCGGGATCCGAGACGAATGGCTGATGGAACGAACTGACCTCCTTCCAGACTACGGCAAATCAGTCACACTAACAAAAATGCACAGAAAGAAAGGACCTCATGTAGATAGAAGCAAGACCGTGCGGCATTTTCCCAGCCTTGATAACTTTCATTACCTGACCGTCAACTTCACATTTTACTCTCACGTCACAACGATCATCACTCACGTTTTCAGCTTTTTCCCAGTATATGTCATTGTCAGTCAGGAAGCTTAAGTAGCGGAACTCTAGCTGTAATGTTGATACCTCTGCGGTGCTGACAAGCAGAGGGAGCTCCTGGTCCGGAATACCTTTGCGTTCCACCAGATTAACCCTTGGAAGGGGTAAACCAGTTGGCGTGTCGAATGCAGGCAGGAGCCTGTCGGCTAGGTCGATAGCGCGCTCGAGATAGAGGGGGTCTTCACCGGATATGTGGTAAGCCGAGAGAAGCCCACCAAGAACACGTATTGTCGTCTGTGAACAGTCTGTCAGCTCCTGCGCAGCGGTTGCATGATGGAAACACTATATTCACCTCAAAAGTGCTGAAGCTTCCATTCGCTTCAAACGACAGCTTGTCAGCCACCCAGGTTCGCGCACGAGCGTAGTCATCTTCAAGACCCATGATCAACATGGTGTCAATGGAATCTATGACAGTGTATCCAATTCCGCCTGCGTCTGTCAAGTTCGATCCATTGCGACTGATGGGATGATACTCGTCAGACCCCATAGCGTCCCGCTCTATAGTCGAGTCAGGGGAGGATACATATATACTAGACGGCAGGTAACGAACCATAGGCTCTCCAAGCGTACTACGAGAATGTGAACGAAATCCGCAGTAAGAGAAGATGAACCCACTTTGAATGCCTCAACCACCGCGTCTCTCTTCGGTATATCTGCGCTCCTAGTCGCAACCCGCACACGAGAGCCAGGTCTGGACGTGGGTTGCCATGGATCTTCTCCTAGCCATGAATTGACGAACTGAGCGACAGGACTCGGATTCTTCAGTATTCTTCAGTGAGGAGACATCTAGAATAATAAGGAACCCAAGCGTACAAGATATATGAATGTCCCGAAGGCAATGAGAAAGGGTATCCAGATAAACTTGACATATTTTTGAATGGACGAAAAATCTACGTCCAGGTCATCGTTATTCTAAGGTAACAGCTCAGCAATGCATAAAGAATACGAGATGTGGAAGACTAACAGGCTCAATTCGAACATGCTTGGCAGCCGGCTTCGAAGACGCCTTTTTCCGTTTCCTTGGTCCCGGGTCGGACATGAAGTTAAGAAGGAGGTGGGTGAAATTATAATTTATGACGCGCTTGCCACGTTTGCCGAACCTTCCGCAGACAAACAACCTCTCTTCTCTCTCTACCCTCTTCTTCCAGCCTCAATGAGGCTCCTTTCTCTCCTTGTCGTCGCATCATGGCTCGGGACGACATTTGGGATACAGGAATCCGATGCCGGCATCATTGACTGGCATAAACGACTTGTCGGTGTACCTTTGGCGGATTCGACTTCAACTGCACCTGTATTTCACCGCGTGGGAGGCAAGAACACGAAGAGTGTCATACTTGCAGCAACCGAACAAAACGTATTAGCTGCTTTGAACCCTGTCGATGGTTCAGTAGGTGCGTGTTGACTGTGTCGTTGCTGTGGAACGCTTACGAATGGCTTTAATGCAGCCTGGCGACATATATTCGAGCCGGATGATACAATCGTAACATTTCAGAAGCAGGATACAAGTGCGTGCCCTTAGAGAGTCAATTGTCTGCCTTTAATTCAATCCTTGTCTAGCTGTCGCGTCTCTTTCCGGACCCAGCGGCGCGACTCTACGGTCGTTTGACGTTCTGAGCGGTCATCTCCTGCTAGAAAAGCATCTACATTCTCCAGAGACAAGTTTACCCTCAGAATCGGGACATACAGGATCGAGCATTGCATTCACAGCCGGTTCAGATATTATTGCTTTGACTAACGGATACACGGTTCAGTCTATCACCAAGTCGGGCGAGATACGCTGGACATGGACGTCAGAAGACCAAAGGTATTGCTTTATTCAAGTACTTCCTGGTTACAAATCTTATCGATTTCACCTATAGCTCCCTTGTCATATACACCAATGTCATTGCGACCCCCACCGCCATATATGCTGTTGGGTTGGCGAAGTCGTATTCGTCCTACACTCTACATGTCGCAGCCCTGTCGCCCGAGTCTGGTCAACTTCTGTCATCAGCTCATGTAGCCTCGAGTATCGCAAATCCTTCCACAGACCTCGTGCTGCTAACAAGCAATACCGTTTCACGGTTAGCTTGGATAGAACAGGGAGCATTAAAGTCTGTTGCACTCTCAACGTCGTTAAAGGAGAAACCCAGGACGACCAAGGGGACAACCTATAAGCGACTCATCGACGTTGGTTTAAGCAATCATGGCTATATGGTTGCCATCATGCTTGATGGAACAGGGCGTGCCTTCAGATTGGAGGAAGACGGCACTGTTTTGAATAATATTTGGGAGTTTGAAGGTTCTGTAAGTATATGCAATACATTCATTCCCAGCTTCTCTCATTTCACACTAGGCCTATGATCCTCGGCATTCAGAGTCATTGTATACTGGTGGATTTGACAAAGGTGGATATCCATATATTGGACGCCTCTATTGGTCACATGCATTCCAGGTGAGTCGTCCTCTGCATAATTAACAATGTCACTTGAGCAATCGTAGTTCGCATCGGCAGAAATCTTTGCACCACACTTGGCTTCCGGGAAAGGTCTAGTGACCGGTTTTTCCTTCCCTTTTGATACCTACAGCCACGGCGTTATAACCCATGTGTGTGATGTTTTTCTTTGTCGGAGAAGCTCACTGATATCAGTTAATTTAGATGACAATGGATGCCGCGAATCCTTCTGCCCTCACCGTTCTTGGACGTTTATTCTTGACTACGACTACGGGCACAGTTCAGCTCTGGCAACAGGACAAGCTGCAATGGACACGAGAAGAATCTTTAGCTTCCGTTCGTGTGGTTGAATTCGTCGAGTTACCCGAGCACGTTGTTACCTCATCTCATGACCTGGATGAACAGTTTTCTGAACGTGTACGAAGACACATATCTGATGCCCAAAACTTTCCCCGATATCTCCTCAATTTTGTCAGAAGGTTTGCGACTGGTTCATATGCTTCGGCCTCGTCGTCTGTTGCTGCTAAGGACGGATCATTGTCTCGCGACGCGTTTGGATTCAGACAGATAATTCTTGTCGCTACCGACTTTGGAAAACTTTTCGCCCTCGACTCGAGTAATGGAAATGTTTTATGGAGCCGTATTCTCGGATTAGGATGGGCGGCAGAAGTTGGGGGCAAGCATTTACCCGTCAAGATTTTTGTGACCCGAACCGTGAGCGATGGAGAGTCACCACAAGCCGTTCTGATAACGCAGAGGCGAGCGAACAATGTGAGTCTGGGCATCTTCATACAGAAAGTCTCTGACGGTTCGTTATCTTAGGGTCTTTTGGACACTACGTTATTCCACTTTGACGCCCTGACAGGTCTCGATGTCCGTTCAAACGCACAGAAAACAATGGTCCTAGAGGGAACGGATATACCTGAAGCCATGACAGACGCTTTTATGCTTCACAAAGATGATACGAGAGTTATTATAGTCTTGGATGAACTATCGCAGGTTAGTTTTATGTATATGCACGTTCATATCTTGTATCAATGTCGTTCTAGGCGCACCTCTACCCTGACACCGATGAATCGAAGAAATTCCTACTCGAAAATCTCTCCTCGCTTCACTTTCCGCTTCAGATGAACGTTCCGGGCGGGCGCCAGGTCGTTGGACACCATTTAGCCGAAGTTCCTGCGCTGAGCCATCATCTTCTCGCAAGACCAACCTGGACGCTTTCATTACCACATGGGGAGACCGTCCAGTCTTTGATTCCAGCTGCTCGGGGGCCAGTAGCGTCTATTGGCAAAGTACTGGGGAATCGGACGACATTGTACAAGTATCTGAATCCACGGACTTTTGTAGTCTTGACTAACGCTGTTGCTTCTAAACCTCCGAACTGCGGACTCTACGTCGTTGATGCAGCCAAGGGCACGATAGTGTACCAAGTTTCCCTTCCTGTCATTGCGGGCAAATGCGATGTCAAAGCGACGTTGACGGAAAACTGGCTTATTTATCATTACTACGACGACGACAACGGACAAGCTAAAGGCTATAGAATGGTTACGGTTGAGCTGTACGAAGGTTCGCAGGCAGACGACAAGACGCGAAGGTAAAGTTTTACGATTGATCGTTTTCTAAGCCAGACTGACGTTGGCAGCTCTGAATTATCTGCGTACTCCACAGACAACACGGTCGTAAGGGCATTTGAACAGTCGTACGTATTTCCTCATGGGATATCTGCGATTGGGACGACGTCTACCAAATTCGGAATCTCGAGTAAGGATGCAATCGGTGAGTGGTCGAGGGCGGAGATAAATTGGATTGGCACTAACTTCGTTTTTAGTTGCGACAACGAACAACAAGGTTCAGTCGTTCTCGCGGCGACTTCTGAATCCGCGAAGACCCAGTCAAAAGCCAACTTCTGAAGAAGTAGAAGAGCAGCTGGTGCAGTATGATCCTCTTCTGCCAGATGATCCACGGCGGGTGCTGTCGCATACGTACGAGGTATGGGTGTTGACCTTGTTTACGTTATGTACCCGCGTCCTTACTCTATTCAGGTTGCCAATATCAGACGTATCATTACCTCTCCGGCGCTGTTAGAGTCGACGTCCCTAGTGTTCGCATACGGACTGGACATGTTTCTAACGCGGGTCGCGCCTTCGAAAACATTCGACGTGCTAGACGAGAATTTCAACAAGGCGCAACTTGTATTTACCGTTCTTGGATTAGCCGCTGCGATTGGGATCACGAAGCCCATTGTGCGGAACAAGAAGCTGAGGGAGAAGTGGTATCAGTGATAATCAATCTGATCATGATGTGTTCCCGGTAATCTGTTGTTCCGGAGTTGAAATATAACATGAGATTCATTCTTTGGGAGCCGTTAGGCACGGATGGGGGGAGAAGGGTTGGTTACGTTCAAAGTGCCCCGATCGAGGACCTTATTGTTCGATCGAGCTACCTCGAGGCGCGCGATGTTCAATATCTCCAGTCTGGTAGCTATCCGCCGTCAGAGTAATAACAAAGCACATGCTATTTGTTCCAAGATATAGATATCTGTGATACATAAAAGTATATATAATGTATATATATACGACGATTGCAATCCAGAGTGTCAAAAAAGGGGGTTGATGGGGGGAGATTAAGTCTGATACATTACTCGTAAGACAGGGTGGTATGCGTTTCCCAAGAATCAAAAGGTTCCAACCGACAGTCCGGCCAAGTCAAAGATAAATTAGTGTGCGAGATGATGAATGGAAGAAGCAGAAGGGTGGGAAGGGGTGATGATTAGGGCACGATATTTTCAAGGCTACTTTTCCGGCTAGCGCCAAATGCTGCGAGGGACTTTGTTTCTTCGCCGTCCATACGCCAGATATTGTTGGTGGCGGGGGGGAGGCTTCTGCGTTCTTCGTACTCGTCAAAGCTGAGGTCGGCAGAGGAGGTCGAGACGGGGGAGAGCATGGGGGGGCTCTGTTGGACGATGTCCTGGAGGAATGAGGGGAGGAGAAGGGGGGCTGGGTCGCGGTGGCCCGAAGTTTGGTAGATGGGGTAGGCGTTGTACTGGGTGCCGAGCTCGAACTGGCTGTGCGAGCGGTGGACGTGAGCATGAGCACGCGAGTGTGGCGGCGAGGTATTGATGAATGGACGATGGACCTGGGGGGGGGTGAGCGAATGAGACCGGGCCGGGAGGGGGTCGTGTGTCTGTGCGAGAACGGAGGTGAGGAGCGCGATTCGCTCGGCCTGTACGGCTGCTGAAATGGAATCACCATTCCCTTCGGCGTCTATCAAGAAAAAAAAAAGTTTAAAAGAGTCGAGGGTAAAATAAGAATAAAAACGCACAAGGAAGACACGTCTGGCAGACTTTTCTGCGTCTCCAGTTGAGATAGTTGCATTTCTGACAAATCCAATCGCCGGGTTGCTGGTACGGACGCGTCAAAGTGAGGTAAGGACGAAGATATCGGAAGCTGGGGAACTTACGTGAGAGATGGGTCCTCGGTTCCCGGTGTTCAAGATGGGTGGCTGCTGGCCCGGTGGTCAGGCAAGTTGTGTGGGGGGAATCTAAGGATCAGGGTTACTTACGGGAACGCCTACGAGTCCACTAGGTCGGATTTGGCCTTGCTCGGGGAACGGTTCGTTGTCGGGCCAGTACATGATACACGGGGACAACGGGTCGCTGGAGATGTTTTGGACCTTGCCACCAACAGCAAAGGCGCGTCCAGAGGGCGTGAGCAGTGGATGGATTGACTTGGACGGCATTGGCGAGACTGGTGACTGGGGCGAGGAGTAGGCTGGAGATGGTGGTGGTGGTTGGAAGCGAGGTGAAGACATGGGTCGCGAGGAAGGAGGCGGAGGAGGAGGAGGCGGCATTGCTTGGTAGAGCGGCGCTGGACTAGAACGAGGGCAGCCACAACCGATACATGCCAAGTTGCGTCTGGAGAAGAAGAGTTCAGCCTTTTTATACCAGGCTGCGGGTATGAAATCACCCACCCAAAATTATGTGCGGCACATTTCGGGGTGCTGCATCTGTGAAATATATAGTAAGCCAATTGGAATAAGAAGGGAAGGAAAAAAAGAAGGTTTTTATGCTCACATCCAGTCACCGAGTCTGAAGCTAGTTCGTGGATTGGGTGGATTGGACGAGAGAGTATAGTCATTGCGCGACGCGATATAGACAGGCTCGAGCATCGTGGATGGTGGTGGTGGTGAATCGGAAACTACGAGCGCCTAAAGAAGAAGCTGTGAAAAGGGCCAGGATATACGTAAGGGCATGCTTTACCTGGGTCTGGATGTCGAATCTCTGAAGCTTGTGAAATGGCTCGAGGTCGAGGTCGAGGGCGGGCGCGACGATCAGCGCGGCGCTCGACAATGACAACGCCGTACATGCCTACAAGAAGAGGAAGGAGAAAAAAAAAAGTTACAGTGGCGCTCGTCACGTGTTGACGCGCGCTCACCTCTTGGTGGGTCTTGAACACGGCCCATACGCTCTCTCGGCTGTTATCCCGCAAAGTCCACATTGATACAGGCGGCGGGAAATGCTAGCGGAATCTCAACAACAGAAGGGGAAATCACGGGAGACGTCAACTCACTTGGAGTATCCTCGAATCTGGGGGATGGGGGAACTGGACTTGGGGTCAATACGAGCCTATCAAGGATGAGGAAGGGAGGGACAGACCCTGACGACTCTGGAACGAGTAGCGAGGAAAAGCTGTACCGATGGCCACTCGATATCGATACTGCTCTCACTGGAAGCAGGAGAATAACGGGAATGCATGGGGTATCAGAGAGGCGCACGGGTATAAATGATGGGAGGACCGTCCGACGCGAACAAGTTGGTAATTAAAAAAAAAACGTCGGGTCGTAAATACGTACTGAAGGGAGCCGGGGGGGGAGGAAGGAAAACGATCGTCCCCCCTTCGTAGTAAAGTGTAGTATATAACCCATTTCTCTGACACCCCATGGATCGACGACAAATCTCGCCCGCGAAATCTGCCAACGAGGGCCACAGTAAAAGGAAACTGTCAATTTTTCAATTTCTTTGGAAATTAAGGTTGCGCATTAGGTAATCTGTTCCCAAGGTTGCGACAGAATCGATGAGCGATTATTTTTTTTTTGTACAAGTAAATTAGATTCGCGTTTCAACTACGCCACTGTCAAGCAACGGCGGATCCCGTCTGGCCGCCCGCAAGTGCCCATATATCGCATGCTGAAGCTTCATCCCGCCGATCCTGCTCACACGGCCCTCCTTCACCAAATACTGAGCATAGTTCCTCCAGGCAACCGCCCCTGTTTCTTCCTTGGTGCTACTGTCGACGGATCGTCCCATCTTCAGCGTGCTGATACTTCCAACAATAAACAGTCCCCTCTTGGCTCGTGTGAGCCCAACGTTCAGCCGTCCTCGGTCGGCAAGAAATCCGATATGTCCTCCCGCGTTGTTCCGCACGGTAGAGAATATGATAATCTCCTTCTCCCGGCCTTCAAATCCGTCCACGGTCTTGATCTCGATGTCCCCAATCTGCATCGCCCGGTGCTCACCCAACACAAGCTCGAACCGCTCTCTATACCGCGCATTCACATTGAACAGCCGCGTCAACAACGATATCTGCGCAGCGTACGGAGCTATAATCCCAATATCGTCCCCTGACAGTTCCTGTAAACACTTTAAGAAACACCCGTTCCTTATGAATAAATTTAAAATCATACCGGATTCGTCAGCAACAAGTCCTCAACCACGCTCGCCACAATATGAGCCTCGTTCCAATTGACCCGGCTCCGATCCTTCGTGGATTCTTCCCCGGCATGATCAAGAAACACCACAGACGGCCTCTCCCCATTCCCGTCCTTTTCCAGATGCAGAGAATTCGGAGGGGCAAGCCTCGACAAGATGTTTCCCCCAGAATCCACCGTCCCATCCAACAGACTCGTACCATAAAACTCTAGCGACGGAAACGCCGAAAGCGCGGGATGCATCCGATACTGGATATCCAGCATGATCGACGGAACATCGCCCTCGACAATGAGCCGCTCGAACAAACTCCTATCCAGTCGATTCGACTTTGCTATCTGGCTCACGATTACCGGCGGGAGCTGTTTGTGATCACCAATCAGAGCCACATGCCTAGACTGCACCCCCAGTCAACATTGTTTCAAAAAACCAGCAAAAACTCACTTACTCCTTTCATCAGAGGAACGAGCGACGCCGGTTCAGTAGACATGGACGCTTCGTCTAAAAACACCACTGGAAAGTCCGTAGCCTCGAGGACGCGAGATGCGGCGGTCAGACATGTCGTACAGATCTGAACAATTGTAAGAACGAAAAAAAAAAAACCAAGAACCACAAGAAGAAACATACCACATCAGCTTCACTCAGCACGTCTTTGGTCATCTGCTGCGTTAGCGCATACGACTGGGCCTTCTTGCCCTGGATCCGCTCCTCCTTTTGTGCTATAGCTTTCATCATCCCCTCTAAGCGCTGCGCGAGGTTCGTCCGTCCGTCCTGGATTTTTTTCTGCACTTCCTTGGCGCGGATTAACGTGTCCTTTGTCTCGCCTTCCAGCATCTTGATAGTTTCCGAGATTCTCTCCGCCTGGGGATAAAGAGGGTGTCGTTGCAGTCTATACTCGAATGTATATGGTTCGAGCGACGCTCGGGTCTTGCCGCCAAACGCGACTCGGACAGGATTGACTCCAGCAGCGACGAAGCCCTCGACGAGGTTATCCACGGCGACGTTGGTGTAGGTACACACCAAGATGGGTTGGGGAGTCTCGAAATGGAGCTACGAGGCCTTTAGTTTGTGTATTCCATAGAGTAAAAACCACGTACCTTGAGCAATTTAATAGTCTCGATAATTGTCTTTGTCTTTCCCGTCCCAGGAGGCTAGTACTTGTTAGTAAAAAGTAACCAACACCAAAAGACAACCCACCCCTTGCACCAAACTAAACCGCTCCCCAATCATCTGAGCCATAGCTCTAACCTGTGTCGCATTCAACCCATCAATAACCGGATCACCCTCCACAACCACCGGATCCTGCCTCATATACCTCCTCGCCCAACTATAAATACGCTGATCATCCCTAAACACGCCCTCCCCACCCTTATCCACGAAATCCCCCTGGCTATACCCTCTCAGAATGACATCCCTCAAATGCGTCCCGTTGAGCACCTCCTCGCGATCAGCAGCCATCACCGCCTCCTGCGACCGAACATCCCGATGCAGGTGGCTGATGGCCTCGCGCATCCGGGTATGCACCAACGACGAGTGGCCCAGGTCTAGTCGCCACGCGCCTTCGAGCTCGGGGGTGTCAAACTCGACTTGGTCGGGGAAGGATACTTTGAGCTGCAACGGGGTGCGGGAGATGAGGGAGCCTTTGGCTGGCTCGTCCTTTAGCGGGTCGATACGAGATACCAGGACCTGCGTGCCGCTCCTATTATAAAACAACTTTAGTTTTAGTTTTGGTGAGATAAGTAGAACACCCACTCAAATCGATTCTCAGGCAACTGCACTCCAGGCCCACGCGTAAACGTCGCAGTTCGTCTCCCGAAATGCTTCTCCTCAAGCCAAAACTGCAGTCATATCCGTAAGACAATATCCCTCCTCCTCAAGTCGCTTCCTAGACCACGTAGAGAGGCGCTGATGAAGTACCGCTTCTTCTGCCGCGATCTCTGCATCCAAGAGGCCATTAAAACTACGTAGAACAAAGTCAAGCCGCGTCCTAGATAAGAGAGAAAGAGACGCACTGCTCGCTATACCGCAGAACCATATGATAATAAGGCTCATGTTCTTGAAGAACCGTCAACTGAGGGTTTATCCTTCTCTTATGTCTCCGTTTCCCATCCAGCCTATCTTTCCTCTGCCTCGAAAAGGCGCGTCCACGCCAATCAAACCGCGGGGGAACAGGCACCGAATCCACCTCTGGCGCATTATCATCATTCTCAGCCTCGTACCCAGCGAGAAAATCCTCCGTCTCCACGAGTATCTTGGCCTGAGAATGGTATACCCGTCGTGAACACGGCGGCCTGCTGCAAAAGTCGCGCAGTCTTAGATGGACAGGGCTGAGTGGGGCAGACCTCTGGTGGGAATGCCGATGGGATACTAGAACTCTTTCGGTGGATATAGTTGCATTTTTGAGGATACGAACGAGGGCCAGCGTGAACGAGTGAATGAAGGAAAGAGTAGTAGTTAAAGATTTTTTCAGAGTTCCGGACCGACCCAGCCGTACACTTTTCTTGTCACCGTCACGTCACAAACACAAACACAAACGACACGAACTATGCGACCCCAAGTCCAAGTGTACTCCGCATCCAAACCCGGAGCGTCTCCTCCTCGCCATACGGCCGCACGCACGTCTGGAAACGCCGCCAACCCGTACTCCCCAACCCCGTCGTGCCAAAATACCCCCAACGCATCATCCGCTCCGACGGGAGCTCCTTCACGCACTGGACCACCTCCCCGCGGTCCCTCCTCCGCCTCACACGGGACGTGACGAACAACCCAGTATGGAACACGGGTCTCTGGGCTGACGAGGGCGCCATGGAGGACGAGGCGAACGCGCAAGGGAGGCTGGGGAGGTTTAATCGCCGGTTTGATGGTGTCGGGGGAGCGGGGAGCGAGATTGACTGGATGGCAGGGTCGGATAAGGAGACGTCCTCTGGAGAGTTGGTGGATCCGAGCGAGTATATGATCAAGGCGAAAAAGTCGAAGAAGAAGGGAGGGTCGTAGAGTGGTTGTTTACTGAAAATATTTTGAGGTCAGCAGACCCCGCCTTTCGAGCGCCATTCATTAACAGTTGTCCATCACTTCTACGTTAACAGCTGTTTCATTCCTCGCGTCGAGGATCTCATCCATTGCCAGTTCGAGCTTAATTCTCGCTATCGATGATCAAAGTAACAGTGGCGTCAGGAGCCTTTTTCCTCGGTCCCGGTGCCTCTCCTATGTAGCCAATAAACATCCAAAAAGTATTCATAGTACGTCCAGGTTAGATACAAGAAATAAGTTAGGATACAAAAGCAAGGATTAGCGATGTCGGTTGATAATACACTAGACAGAGCCTTCAAATTCACCCTCCAGCCTTTCCAAGCAACGCGTACCCACTACCTTGCGGACCGTGTAACTTGCTATAACACCTTCCACAAAGCGGTGTCCCGTCATGGTCCCGTAAGCGCGTAGAGTCCAAAAGGGTATTACACTCCATGCATCGCAGGCAAGCTTTGTGGTACGTCTTACCCACCGCCTTCACCTAGCCAAATAGATAAACACCGGCTACAACATGAACCTCACTTCGACTCACCTGCTCAGCAAAATAAACAAGCCCATTACACTTGGGACACCTCGGCGTCGTCGAAGCCCCTCCCCATTTCCTGCCCGTGGTCTGCGGAGAAACCATTCCCAACGCGGCGCCATACCGGGTGCCGGTCGAGGTCTGGATGAGTGGCTTTGCAGTGCGGCCTATCGCATCGAGGGTATTACTCCGTTGGAGGGTTGCCGCGTCTTTGGTTGGAGACGGAGTCAGGTCATTGAGCGTGTCCTTCTCTTCTTCGGCTTGCTCTTCCGAATCCTTGGTATCGGTGTTGGCACGTGTTGGAGATGGAGGCGCAGCATAGGGGAGGTTGGCCTGCCGTAAGTCCCGAGTGCCAAAAGTTCTTTACATGGCATGATTTACTAGATAGCGTCAGTATCAGCGTCGCATTGAAGCCCACACGAATTCATACCAGTAAGGCTGGAAGATAGAATGAGATCAAGACGACAAAGACCACACAAAGGCGCACCTCTTGATCGTGCTCCAACAAAGTATACGAATCCAATCGTTTATTACAAGTCGAGCATTTCAGACAAGGCTGCAAGCCATCGAGTCAACGCAACCTCCAGCTATCCAATCCACAAAGCCCACCTTGTGATAAAGCTAAACAACCGATCTTGATTAGCGCGTGCCACAGCGGGGTAGGCGGGGGAGAACAGACTCGCCTTCCGGCCGGGGCCCATGACCTAGAAGGGTCTCAACAACATTCAAATAAACAATACCAACCACTCACCTGCTCAGCAGCATATACCGCCTTTTCGCAGCGAGGACATATCGTTGTACCACCAAAGGGATGCATGGGCGTTACGAGTCAAGCTGCTCCACTTCCGGAAGCGGTAGCGGAGTTTCAATACACGTGGTGAAAAAATTGTATTCGTTACTTTCGACCCTCTTGCATCCATCTCCCCCATCTCCATCTCTCCATCCTTCCTATTCCCTTCTATCTTCCCGTTAAAAATGTCTGACGATGAACATCACAACCAAACCTTCGAGCAGGTCCGTTCCCGCTCCATCTTATCTCCCAGATCTCTCTCTCATCAGTTGCTTTACTTTTTTTCCCTTTCCCTTCTTCCCTTTACTCTTTTCTTTTCATTTTCCCTTTTCCCTATGTAGGCCAGCGCCGGTGCGTCCTTGACGTACCCCATGCAATGCTCTGCCCTCCGCAAAAACGGTTTCGTCGTCATCAAAAGTAAGCACCCCACCAACAATCTTTTTGATCGATCTCCTTACCATCCCCACCTAGACCGCCCTTGCAAGATCGTCGAAATGTCCACGTCCAAGACTGGCAAGCACGGACACGCCAAGGTCCACCTCGTTCGCTATCGATGTCCGTGTCTTGCCCCCACCCCCCGTCTCATCGATGACCTAACCCCCCCAACAGATCTTCACCAACAAAAAGTTGGAAGATATCTGTCCCTCCACCCACAACATGGACGTCCCCAACGTCCAGCGTAACGAATACCAGCTCGTATGTTCCCACTAATCCTCGTTTTAGTCTTACTTACTCACCCCCCCTCCCCCAGGTCAACATCGACGAAGGCTTCCTCAACCTCATGACCCAGGACGGCACCCCCAAGGACGACGTCAAAGTCCCCGACAGCGAGCTCGGCGGGCAGATCAGCAAGGACTTTGACGACGGCAAAGACTTGCTCGTCACTATCATCTCTGCCATGGGCGAGGAGCAGGCTATTTCTTACAAGGAGGCTCCCAAGGGGTTGTAGCCGGCGTTCGTACGTCCCTCCTTCCCTCCTTCCCACTTTCTTCTCACTTCTATCATACCCCAGTGCCGCCGGTTCGTCCCCTTCCCGTGATGTGGTGTCGTTTGCACGTTATAGTTATCCCTCGTTTGTGTTCAAACATTTTCATTGTAACGATGGTGTAGATCAGCAGTAGCAGTTGTGACAAGTAATCCTAACGAAATATGTCCATTTGAGAGAGAGCGCGTGCTACCTCGGGTTTTTGACTGCATACGATACTTGACGGTAATCAGTTCCTTCGAAGGTTCTTGATGTCCGTGCGGTTCGCGGGTATAGGAGCATCATGATGGTTCCGTTGCTCGGCCTGAGTATGCTTTCCCTCTAGTGTTTCGACTGCCATGCTCAGCAGCGAGCCTCACGATTGCATCCAGAATCCTTATCACACTTCAAGCCAGTGTAATTCAACAGAGCTCACTGTAAGAAACCATTTATTCAATTCATTAACCAAACCTCGCGCGCGCCAATAATATATTTTACTTTACATCAATGTCCTAATATACACACTTCTTCGGCCACAGCGCACTCCGAGGCATCCAAATCACTCCGGGCAGGTGATTACTTAGTGTTGGTCAAAATGCAAGGAAAACAATTGGAACACAGATAGTATTTCGACCCAAGCTTTTGACCACAGCAAAATGTGTCGGCTTTACCATTAAAGGGGATCCTGGCTCATCTTGTTATTTGATCAGAATTTGATCTGTTGTCCACCCATTTTCCCAAGTGGCTTGCCAGGACTGCGCGCGCGAGCTTTTCGATCATGCATTCTCTCTAGCGTTTCGACTACCATGCTCAGAGGTAACTAGCAACGGAATCCTTATCATTCCGACCGGACTTTCAACAGAGCTCTCTGTAAGAAAGCAGTCATTTATTCAACTCATCGCTAAACTCACACCAATAATACATTTTACTTTACATCCCGTCCGATATGCTTCGATATACATCTGTCTTCCACCGCAATGCATTCCTCGGCACCCAAACAAACTCAGGACCTTCCAAATTTAACTTGGAACGGACTCGAGCTTGAGGAGGCGCAGGTTCGGGTTGGACGCTAGGCTCTCGGAGACCAGTACTATTTGGATCGACCTCAGGTAGCGCCTCCATCCGGGGATGCCATGCATAAGTGGGACCGTTGGAAGACTCCCGCTCAAATTTGAATATCCCATCTGTGTAGTTTCGTGCCTCCTCAGTGGAAAGAAGCTCCAGAATCACCGGATCCAGTTCGCCAAAATATGGTTTTAGACTCTCGGGCACGCTCTTGGAGCTGACTACTCGTCCCAATCGTAGTTGGCCATCTGGAAGTGGATAAGGGTGAGTTATAGTTAGATCTAAAACAAGAGCAGAGTACCTCTGGTAGACACGAGCTCAATCAAGCCTTTCGCAAGTCTAATCTCCGTAACAAAGCCAGCTTCCATTCTCGCATCATCGAAGACACCAGAATTAATCCACGGTATCGACCTTATCGGGGGATCGCCAGGCCACCTGAAAATGTGCTTTATCCCAAACCGAAATCAGACTCGGAGCGCGCATTCTCATCAGCGGCTTACCTCCAAGACACGATGGGTCATCTCGTGAAGCATCGTCAACCTCAGCGCAGCCCTCACTTCCGGACCAGGATTCAGTACAGCAGTATGGAGCAAAGACATCGGTACGTGAATAGCCTTGATCTTCCCCTATTCCGTCGGTAGACAATAGGCCCTGCAGAGTGTCTGGAATGGTGTTACCAGTTCAAGTTCTGCTGGAAGACCTTGGATATTATTATTCTCGAATGATGAAGAAGTATCATTAGAAGGTCTCAATGGTTCCGAGGGGACGAACAACTGAGCAGCATGGCTAATACAGTTCTCCGACTTGATAATATCGCTAGAGGAAAACAGGACACGATGCTCCAACGCCAGAGTAGGAGCTGAGAGAACGATGAAAGTCAGAGGGTTCCACTGGAGGATAGACTTGATGCACTGGACATCGGTCTCGGGGGGGTGCTCTTCCAATTTCACGAGATACGCCAACTGAAGCGCCCCGTCCCCATGAATGATATTATTGATTAATTCAGCAGCAAGCTCGAAGAGGAGCCTTTCCACGCCCGTCACCCCAGCAGATGGGTAGAGCATTTGTTCGTCTTCAACAAGGATCCGAAGGATGACAGGGTTCGAGGCGGTGGTAAGTTCATTCGAGATCGATATGTAGAATTGTAGAAATGATTTCTTATCTGGATCAATTTACTTCAGTGAGTGACGACAGGTTGAGTTTTTCGCAGGCACCACTGACCGTCCACTGAGCGGAAGTTGAACCGCATCAAGGGAGGTTCTGCCCAGTGATTTGCCCAGTGATGCGAACCAGTGAAAGAAGCTAGGGTAAGCGATGTATATGTTAAAGGTTTGAGAAACATACAGTGTGAGGACAAGTACCTCATGTGTTAGGACTGTGGATTCATGTTCTATTATGTCTCTGTTCAGCGTGTCATGATCTATGGAGTGGAAAGATTCTGCAGAGAGGATCGTTAAGACGATACCACGAATCCCACTGCGCATGACATACTGATGAACATGGGCACCTTTGACCCCTCTTCCGAGTCAGTACGACAGAAGAGCCAGCCGTCAGAGTTCACTGAGCCAACCAAGTTAGCGGGCCGGTACATTCACAAAAGAAAACGAGGGTCCACTTGCAGAATAGTGTGTCCACAGAGGGTAATTTTCTGCTTCCAACACCTAGAGCGACAGAGAAGCTGTGTATCGCCCATTGCGAGGGCAAGCCCAACCTCCCGGGTTCAGAGAGCCTGGGGGGGAACAGTGCAGGCAGGCAGTCTGGCCTTGAAAATGGATATATCTCGTATATTTTACTCTATTAAGGAATGTGAGGTGCATAATAAAAACGAGGAACACTGACTCGCCTCACAGGACATGGTAGTGACTCGACTGGAATCTAGAAGCCCCTATGTTATTTAAGCGCGCCTATTTGAAATTACAATATTCCGATCGAACGGTGAGTTACCGGTCCCGGGCCGACGTTCCCACCACCTTCAACCTGCCACCATCATGGCAACCCATCTCAAGAAATCCGTCTGGTTCATACCCGACATCCCCAGCACCACCACCGTCTCAGATATCCTACGCGTATTTCATCAAGTATCCGAAACTGGATGGGATATCGACGTTTCGATCAAGCCGCACACTCAGAGAAGGCGTAGCGGCGCTAAATCCAATGACACCCCCACTGGTCTCTTCGCGCGCGTAAAGTTCAAGTTCCCTGGTGAAAACTCGAGTGTGTAACACCATACATCATATTATTCATGTAGGCTTCCCTACTTACTCGTGAATCAGCGGAAAAAGCGCTGGTGACTATACACCAGCAAATATCTATACCTGGTACAAATACACTGGTGGCATTCTCCATCCACCCAGATACCGCGCCGTTTCCCCCGCAAGGTGGTATTCCCCGACAAGTGAAAGGCCTGCCCCAGGGATACACAGCCGGTCAACTCTATGATCTTCTGCGACTCAAAACCTCTGTGGCGTCTATTCGCGTCCATGGTGATTTTACGTCAGTGTGGTTTAATAAGGAAGAGGACATCATCGAGTCAGTGCCGCTGGAAAATGGCGGTAAGCTCATGTTCCAGGCGTACGATCCTTTGACGCTGTTCTGCCCTGTGGGTGTACTTTCTCACTTAGCCTAGCTTGATAACTGGATTCTGAGTTCTATCTAGGGCTTGGCGCAGGGAACTAACGAGGCCATGTTCAGAAGCGCATTACTAGATGTTTGTGCTTTTCACTGTCGACTGTTCTTGGCCACTGACACTTTCTACATACAGTGTGAAGGTATCAAAGAGTAAGTCAAGCTATCTCAAAAAATCCGCAGTGCCGATTCTCACGAATGCGTATCACTAGTATAAGGATCCGTACTAATCGTAAGAGGAGAGGTTCGCCATTCGCATTTGTGTCTTTCGAGACCGCCGATCAAGGTAAGTTCTATTAATTTTCTCTCTCAGCCTCGCTTCGGAACTTCAACTACTTGTGTTAGCTTTTGCTGCAAAGAAAAAGCTGCATGAAACACCTGTCAATTCTCGGAAGATCACCGTACAATATAAGGAGCACAACTTGGAGGAAGTTCCTGTCAAAGAGCAGAAGCCTGGGAGCGTACGTTCCTGTCTCGTCATTATCACTGGATTTATTACTTACGAGCTTGAAGCAGCCGGACGAAATCAAAGAGGCCGAGCTTGGTCCCCCTCCTGAGGTGCCTATAGAAAAGGTTCAGCAGTCTCAGACGACACCCGACGCTCGCACTCCAATAAAACACATAGTGATCGATGGCAAAGTCTCCGATCAGTGGGTTGAGATATGGAAGAAAGAAGCCGACAGCTCGAAAGCCGAGCTTGTGAAAGCACGCGGGCAAGTTGGTGCACTAGAAGAACAGCTACAGGTGTTGAAGGTAGAAAGGGATAAAAGACTTGCTGAAATCCAGCGGCTGAACGAGCAGAATCTCAAATTGAAGAAGGATTTGGAGGCGCAGGTGAAGGGAGAAGACAAGGCCAAGGCCAAGTTGCAAGAGGAGATCAACGATCTGAGACGTAAGCTCGAGTTATCGGAATCGCGGAGGAAAATACTCGAGATGCAAGCTGATGCGCCAATGTGGAAAGAGGCAAAGAAAAAGCGAGAGGCGGCTGAGAGAAAGGCAGAGGCGGAGCGGAAGAGGAAGGCTGAGCTGGAGGAATCGAGGAGAAAAATGAAAGAGATACAGGAGGCAGAGGCCCGACGGAAGAAGGAGGAAGAAGCCGCGAAGAAGAGGGAGCAAGAAAGAAAGGAACGGGAGGAAAGGGAAGAGCGGGAGAGGAAACTGGAAAAGGCGCGCAAGGACCGGGAATGGCGGGAGGCAACGGAGAGGGAGCGTGCTCGGCTGAGGAGCATGGCTAACAACCGCTGGGGACTTGGAAAGTGGTCCGACAAACGTGCTCTTGACCGCGTCCAGTACCTCATGGACGAGTTTGAGAAAACCAAGTTTTCAGAGAACAAGCCTGCGACATTTGAGGTTATTCCGTGGCCTGTAGTGCATGACCCGCTGCTTCTCAAGGTGGAGCTGGTTGATTGGGCTGGGGTGGAGAAGTTCTTTGCTATGGCGAGGATTGAGCTGGAGGTGGCCGAGTACAAGAAGATGGTGGAGAGGCTGCATAAGATGTTCCATCCGGACAGGTGGCGGGCAAGAGCAATTTTGAAGACGGTGTTCGATGAGTATCTCAGTCATGCATTGGAGGAAGCGGGGAATACTGTCTCGCAGGCGATGACACCGTTATGGAGAGCTTCGAAGACGCTTTGAAGGGGGCGTCCAAGAGTATATCTTGTCTGCTTATCTGTTTGTATCATCTATAATGGGGTTTATGCTTGTAGTTCTAGTTTTATCTTACATATACTCTGAGCAGGTGCGCTACTGGTGGGTGATTAAAACTCTTCTGACTTTACAGGCTCGGGAATGATTTGAGTACCACAGCATATGCGAGTTTCGATATCTGGCAAGATCTAAATTACTCAAGTTTCAAGTTGAAACGTTGAATCTTGAGATCGCTAAGGTATGCCGTCGCCTCGTTGACTTATTGATGTTGACTTGGGCATGTAGTATTTTTTGTGGTGACGAAGTGCTGGCACCCATCGCAGTGGCTTCGAACTCCACCCAAATAAGAGTCATTAGCGTAAAATCGGACTTCAAACTCCCAATCACTGTGAAGGATGTTAGGTTCGTCATGTTGTCATGAAAATGTGCCAGCAACGCACGTACATACCTACCAGCTTCTCGAATGCATGTTTGCCATACGACTCCCGGCCCTCAGAAGATAGTATAAGGCAATTGATGGGCGCTAATTTGACAGATCCCGAAACATGCAGTAGTGCATTGCCTGAGTGGTTTGTTAACTCACGGTACATGGACGCCCGGTTGTATTCACAGCAGTCTGAAGCTGGATTCGATGCCATACTACTTTGGTGGAATCCAATGCACCTTTGGGACGTTAACCTCGCGTCTGACCCATTTCAATCCTTGCTTCCGATCCACTTCATTGATGCCAACGCGCTTGTCAACACGAACCACTCGTGGAAGATTACAATATAGCCTTCAACAGATGCTTTATTCTACTTTCACCATCACCGGCGACGCTAAAAAGCCCACTCTGAGAACGACTCTGGTGACAATGAACATGTTGGACACGTCGCAAACACGGAGTCGCCAGTGTCTTGTGATTTTTCTATGCAGCAATAACGGAACGTGCATTCCTGAGCCAACGGAAGGGCTGCTAATGAATGAACCTTGGAGAAACTAGCTGCGATATCAGCTCATATGAATGCAGCATTGGCCACATACACACTAGTTTGTGTATTTCTGGAGCCGCCGAAACATGTTCCTGACAGCCATATCAACAGTCACGATATAACACCATCGTGAGCTGTCTGGCTTAGTCCTAATCCCTCTCACTGCCCCAACATTCGTCAAGTTCTTGTTATGTTGAGTACTTCCTCTATCACCGGCCATATCACCCTCGAATCTGCGGGGCTTATCGCTCTCGCCGACCTTTCCACTGTCGCAGTGAGGACAGCTTTGACGGGGACAGCCTCCTACCTTGACATTCTTGTCCTTGCACCAGGCATGCACCAGCAGCAATCCGCCGTCAAAATCAATGACGGCGAATTGCCCGAGGCTGGTTCGTTGACAACCGAATACACCTTCCGAGTTGAGAATCCCGCGACCGTAAGCTACCTACGACACATTGGTCGTACTGGCAAACTCGTCACCGCATGGGTATCTCCAAAACGCTCCTACTACGATCCATTTGCGGATCCTTTCTTTGCCATGAATCTATCCCCAGAAAATACCCCCTTCTTCGTCACCGGTGTTCCCGCGACTCTGCTATACCTCCTTTGCCCACTATTGACTATCATTGTCTTTGCGCTCCTGGGTGCTATCGGGGATTGGTGGGCATTTGGAGTTTTGGGAATGCTTGTATTAGCGAGATTCATCAATGTGGTCGTCATAAAGCGGAGAAGTCATAAACCTGGATGGAAAGGAAAGAAGGAGCCGGGTGTACCCGGGGACTTCCTCATACTTCTGAGCCAGGACCGCTGGGTGCGTTTGAGGGGGTCAGTGGACGATCTCAAGGCTGTGACAGCAGGCCAGTGGTTACGGGGACAGACTTCAATAGAAGGTTTCGCTACGCTGCTGGTCTACGCTGCTGCCGCTCTTGCAGGAAATGCATCGACGGTGGGGAGCTTGCACATCGCATGTTTGCTGCTTTGTTCTGCTGCTCTACTGAGCTTATGCAACTCTTCGACACAATGTTTGCAGATGTTCGACCGTATTGTGCGGAAGTATGGGGAGGAGAAGGGGTATAAGCGGAGGTTGGAGATGGTAGAGGAACTCGTGCGTGCAAGCAAGAAGGGCGACTGGGCCGTTCAAATGAGGCTGATAAAACCTGATGAAGTGGCGGCACTCCTCAAATAGAAAGAATCATGTATTCATAACATCCTTCAAAATTGCAAGAATAAGATGACAGGTACACGGACTCAAGTAGTGGCCGAGTCAGAAGGCCGACCGATAAGCAAAGTTCAAAGCATGCGCGGAGAGTTAAGCGAAACAGTCTCAGGTACGATGACCAGACGAAGGTGCGGAGAGTCGTACGCAACGTCGGCAAAGCGTGCGCGGTCGAGACTAGGCGAATGGCGGGTAATCACGATGGGCCGGTAGAAAGTCAGACGAAATGAGGAGACTGCATGAATGGAAAGTTCCGGAAAGTGACTTGGGACACGCTGCTGAGTACTGAAGTTCAAGTAAAGGTCCTGAGATGGCACGTGATCGTATCAGACACCTTAGCCTCCGTAACAATAATCTTTTCTCTGACACATGGCATCCATCTCATACAGAGATTCCATTCGATGGCTACCCGATGAGGCCAGCGAACCCACCGATACCATCGTCTTGTCATCTTCGAAAAGCAACGTCTTCGTAGACGTAAGATTCGTAAAGGGTACGAAGGATCTCGACTGGGCTTTCGCTGGATATCGATCTACCTGTGAGTAACCTAGCAGCATCAGATCAAATGAAACTGACCTGCGCAGTGGGTCCAGATGCGACTCAGTTCATTCATCTGATTGATTCTCGTACATTGGTGAGTTTCGTGAATGATCCCGGCTCGTTCTCTGCTAGAGTTTACTTGTAGGATGCACTCAGCGTCGATGACCGAGGAACCAACAGCGCGTTGCCCGACGATAGAACATTAGAAACTGGGACGATGGTGAACCCTGCTACGGGAAAGATGGCGGCATATGAAGAAATCTGGCGAGAAGAAACGAGCGACCAATTTCTGTTTGCCAAGAACTACGAAGGGACGACATGGCGGGCGAGGGTCGGACGATGGCAGGTAGCTCTGGGACGTAATCTGGACGGCGAATTCTGGGCATGGCAAGCAGAGAAGGACGAGAACGGAGCGTGGTTGATGAGGAATAGCACAGAAACTGGTCTGCAGCATGCCGACTTGCTGCCGGACGACATGATGGTGCTCGACAAGAATTGGGTCGTGATTTGAAGTCGTTATTTGTTCGAACCAAATAAATCAGCTATATAAGCACCGAATTTTTTTTGGGCTAGGCTGGCACTTCCGCCCACATGCCCGCTCAGCAATCCTCATTCCTCGACGCCGCCTCTGCCATTGAGCACCTTCAGTCCTACTCTCGTTCAGATGGCCTCTCCGTGACGGACCTTATGGACTCTCAGGTCCATGGAGGTCTCACCTACAATGATTTCCTTCTTCTCCCAGGAAAAATCGACTTTCCTGCATCTGCCGTTTTTGCTGAGAGCCGCGTCACTCGTAATGTCACCCTCAAGACTCCGTTCATCAGTAGCCCTATGGACACGGTCACCGAGGGAGAGATGGCTATCTCCATGGCGGTAAGCGTCACTACATCTGGGTACGCTCGCCAATGTCTGACATCTATACCAGCTCCTAGGCGGTATTGGTGTCATTCATCACAACCAGTCGCCACAGTCCCAGGCGTCGATGGTTCGCGCCGTGAAACGACACGAGAACGGATTCATCACTGAACCTGTCGTGCTGTCTCCATCCAACCTTGTCGAGGATGTCCTAGATATCAAAGCCAGACTCGGATTCTGCGGTATCCCTATTACCGGTCAGTCCCTTTTGCCATTACTTTCGCATGATGAGACTTTATTTTTTATAACCTTCGTTCTTCCGAGTTTTAACGCATGTTTAATGCGTGGTGTGCGGATACCTGTTATTCTCTTCTGAATCTCCTTTTCTTCTTCTCTTGGCGACAAATGCTAACTATTCCACTATAGACTCCGGTGCGCTCGGTGGCAAGTTAGTGGGCATAGTCACCTCTCGTGATGTCCAATTTCGCGATACCTCCACACCTCTCTCCGATGTCATGACCACGGACCTTGTCACCGCTGCCCAAGGCATCACTCTCATGGAAGCCAACGACATTTTACGTGACTCAAAAAAGGGAAAGCTACCCATCGTCGATTCGCAGGGCCGTCTAGTCTCACTCCTAGCACGTTCGGATCTCTTGAAGAATCAGTCCTATCCCCTCGCCTCCAAAGACCCCGTGACGAAGCAGTTATACGCCGCCGCCGCCGTAGGCACGCGTCCGTCAGATCGGGAGCGTCTTGCTCTCCTGGTCGAAGCAGGTCTGGATATCGTCGTCCTTGATTCCTCTCAGGGCAACTCTGTGTTCCAAATTGACATGATCAAGTGGATTAAATCCACGTACCCCAAGCTCGAAGTCATCGCAGGCAATGTCGTCACCCGTGAACAAGCCGCATCCTTAATTGCTGCAGGAGCCGATGCGCTCCGTGTCGGCATGGGTTCAGGGTCCATTTGTATCACGCAGGAGGTCATGGCCGTAGGGAGACCTCAGGCAACCGCGGTATATGCCGTAGCCGAATTTGCGAACAAATTTGGCGTGCCGGTCATTGCTGACGGTGGGGTCGGGAACGTCGGTCATATAGTCAAAGCTCTGGCATTGGGCGCTGGAGCTGTGATGATGGGCGGCCTCCTGGCTGGGACAGAGGAGGCTCCGGGAGAGTATTTCTACCATGAGGGGAAGCGAGTCAAAGCATACAGAGGCATGGGTAGCTTGGAGGCTATGGAACAGGGCAAGCCAAGCGCGGGACAGATAAAAGTTAACGGTGCACCATCTACCGGTGGTTCGAACAAATATCCGTCTCCGAAGAAATCGACGACCCTTGAGAATGCCGCCACTTCGCGGTATTTCTCCGAGAGCAGCGCCGTAAAGGTCGCGCAGGGCGTCAGTGGAGATGTCCAGGACAAGGGAAGCATCAAAGCGTTCCTGCCGTATCTGTACATCGGCGTGCAGCATTCGTTCCAGGACATTGGTGTCCGGAACGTTCAGGAGCTGAGGAGCGCCGTCAAGGAGGGCAAGGTACGATTCGAGCTGAGAACCGCCAGCGCGCAGGTTGAGGGCGGAGTACATGGACTAAATTCGTAAGTTTTGGTTTTTTTCTCAATGTCCTCCTTGCTGATGATGCCTCCTTAGCTACACGAAAAGGCTTTTCGCCTAGATCATGACTCATGTAGCATAGCTGTACGTTACCTTAGAATATCGATATATACACCTAAACCGATGGAACGAGACTGAGCATATATGACAAACTACTTTTGAAATTGAAGTTTGACTGTTGGCACGCTGCACGACGCTGTTTACATGTGTTTTTTTCTGGACGCGACATCCTAACTGGATTTTAACTGCTCTTTGATTTCTACTCCCATGGCTGATCTTTTCTCATTCCTTGACAATGTTCCCGACGAGCCTATTGATGAGTCTGCGATTGAAAGCAGTGCCATGCCGGTCGATACGCCAGAATCCTCAGTGAAAAAACGAAAGGCCGAAATCATTGAAAATGGCGGTCCAGATATGAACGGAGTGGAAGAAGAACCAGCAGGGAAAAAACCGCGTCTTGATGCACCGAATCCTGTTGTTCTGGACGATTTTGAGACAGAAGCTAAGCGCGAAGTAGCTGCGAGTGCTGGACTGCAAGGAAGCGTCGAGGCAGGTCGACTTGAGCTTCGGCATCAGGTGTGTTCCGCTCCCCTTTACCTCTCCACTCCTCTGAGCTTTGTTTAGGTGCGTCATCAAGTGGCAGTACCACCGGGATACAATTATACGCCAATAACGAAGCATGTACCACCCGCAAAACCGGACCGGGAGTACAAATTTGAGCTGGATCCTTTCCAAAAGGTGTCCGTGTACGCTATACAGAGGAACGAGAGTGTCTTAGTGTCGGCACATACTAGTGCTGGAAAGACAGTCGTTGCCGAGTACGCTATCGCTCAGTGTCTGAATAGAAAGCAGCGAGTTATCTATACCAGCCCCATCAAGGTCGGCCTCATCTCACGACATATCCATGCTAGTATTTACCAACTTACCAGGCCTTGAGCAATCAAAAATACCGTGAAATGCTGGCTGAATTTGGCGACGTGGGACTCATGACGGGAGATGTTACCATCAATCCCACTGCAACATGTCTGGTGATGACCACAGAGGTATGATTTTCCTATTCCGATGTTCCCTCTTCCCTAAATGCCCACTGGCAGATTCTCAGGTCAATGCTCTACCGTGGCTCCGAGATCATGCGCGAAGTAGCTTGGGTCGTATTCGACGAGATCCACTACATGCGCGACAAGGAGCGTGGCGTCGTGTGGGAAGAGACGATTATCTTGCTTCCGCATACCGTTCGCTACGTTTTTCTTTCTGCAACGATACCAAATGCAATGCAATTTGCTGAATGGATATGCAAGTCGCATGATCAGCCATGTCACGTCGTGTATACGGATTTCCGGCCGACACCATTACAGCACTACCTATTTCCCGCTGGTGGGGAAGGAATCTACCTGGTTCTCAATGAAAAGGGAGAATTTAAGGAGGATAATTTTAGTAAGGCGATGGGCCAACTGCAGGCCAACGCGGGAGAAGATCCGGCGGACCCCCGTGGCGGTAAGGGAAAGAAGGGAAAGACCAAGAAGGGAGGAGAAAAGAAAGGTACGTCATTGGTCATTTGCTTCAGTGTAAGGAAGATTAACCTCGTTTGCTCAGGTCCCTCGGATATTGCCAGGATAGTGAAGAAGATCATGCAAGGCAATTATCACCCCGTCATCGTCTTCTCCTTCAGCAAGCGTGATTGCGAAGCCCATGCACTATCATTAACCAAATACGAATTCAATTCTCAGGAAGAACAAGACTTAGTGAACAATATATTCACGAACGCTATAGACAATCTCTCTGAAGACGATAAACAGCTCCCGCAGATAGTTACCTTCCTACCTCTCCTACGACGAGGAATTGGTATCCATCACAGCGGACTTTTACCTATCTTGAAAGAGGTCATCGAGATCTTATTCCAAGAGGGTCTGATCAAGGTCCTCTTTGCGACAGAGACATTCTCCATCGGATTAAATATGCCTGCTAAAACTGTTGTGTTCACTGGAACACGCAAGTTTGACGGACGCGAACAGAGGAGTATATCGTCGGGAGAATACATCCAAATGTCCGGACGTGCTGGGCGGCGAGGCTTGGACGACCGCGGAGTGGTGATTTTAATGTGCGACGAGAAGCTGGAACCGGCAACAGCAAAGGAAATGATTAAGGGCGAAGCGGATCGCCTTGATTCGGCGTTCCATGTGGGATATAACATGGTCATGAACTTGATGAAAGTGGAGGGCATCAGTCCGGAGTATATGCTCGAACGGTGTTTCTTCCAGTTCCAGAGTAGCGCTGGTATTCCACAGTTGGAGAATGGTACGTTCGATTTTTCTGTCTGAGATTGATGCTTAATACGATCCTCAGAGCTGCGGAAGGAGGAAGAGGCGCATAAAGCCTTCGTCATTGAAGATGAGGAGCTCGTGGCGCAATACTACGAGTTCCGACAACAGCTTGATCAGATGAGAGGGGATTTCAGAGAGGTGATCACTCATCCCACGTACGTGTTACCATTCCTGAAGGCCGGTCGACTTGTCAAAGTCAAGTACAAGAACCTGGACTTTGGATGGGGAGTTTTCATCAATTTTGAGAAGCGCTTGCCACCGAAAGTGAGCTGCTCTTTTACCGTCCGCAGCTCCCGTGATCTGACCGCATGTGAAGAATCGGCCGATGCCTAAAGCAGACGAGGTCCCTCCTCAAGAGCAGTATGTTCTCGACGTTTTACTCAATTGCGCGGCTGGTAGCAGTATTTCCAAGGACCGGTCGAATATTGCAGCTACACCGGGAGGCGTACTGCCATGTCCACCCCATCAGAAGGGTCAACCGCTAGTCGTTCCCGTGCTTTTATCAACGATTGAAGGGATTAGTCACTTGCGGCTATACCTTCCCAAAGATTTGAGATCTTCCGAGTCTAGGGATACCCTTTGGAAGAGTGTAGGTGAAGTACACCGGCGTTTCCCAGACGGTGTACCACTTCTTGATCCTGTGCAGAATATGGGGATAAAGGACGACAAGTTCCTCGGTCTCGTGAAAGTGAGTACGTGCTGTTCGTGATTCGTACGTCCATCGCTGATCGCGAGTTGCCTAAAGAAAATAGAAGCCATGGAAAACCAGATGTTCAAAAGCCCTCTCCATAATGATAAGCGACTACCAGAGCTGTTCACACTGTATTCCAAAAAGCGGGATGTGCAGGATCGGATAAGAGGGCTGAAGAAGCAGATACAGAGTACGCATGATGTGTTGCAACTGGAAGAACTCAAATGTCGGAAACGTGTCCTTCGGCGACTGGGTTTTACGACGGCCGAAGATATCGTCGACGTCAAGGGCCGGGTTGCGTGTGAGATTTCTACAGGGGATGAACTACTGCTTACGGAGCTCATATTTAACGGCGTCTTTAATACGCTGGAGCCTGAGCAGTGTGCGGCATTGCTGAGTTGCTTCGTTTTTGATGAAAAGGTGTGCGGGTCGAATTTCGTGTCGCAACTAGCTGTTGATTTACGTTTTTAGAGCGAGCAACAGACAAAATTGAAGGAGGAACTAGCTGCTCCGCTTCGCATCATGCAGGAGATTGCGCGGCGGATAGCGAAGGTGTCAAAAGAATCAAAGCTTCCGGTGGACGAAGACGCATACGTCTCCTCCTTCAAGGTGGAGCTCATGGACGTGGTTATACAGTGGTGTCGGGGAGCGTCTTTCTCTGAGATATGCAAAGTTAGTTCTTTCGCCCGCTGTTCCGTTTCCCGACTGACCCGAGCGATAAAACAGCTAACTGATACGTTCGAAGGAAGTCTTATTCGCGTCTTCCGGAGACTAGGTGAGCTCTTGCGACAGATGGCTCAAGCTGCCAAGGTCATAGGAAATGCGGAGCTCCAGAAAAAGTTTGAAAAGTCGTCAGAAATGCTGGAAAGGCCCAATTCTGTGATTTTCTGCTCGTCGCTCTACCTGTAGACTGTATGTATCGAACCATCGTAATCTTTGATCTATAGCGCTGAGTGATCAGGCCGAGACATCCGATCCCCTTCAGAAACATTAGGGTCCCTATGTATCTTGTCATGTTCAGGGCACGTCCTTAATGTGAAATCGGCCGTCCTCGAGGCCAACTCTGGACTATTTGGAGAGAATATTGACTGGATTGCTACACTTATGAATCCGAGTCCTGCCTACCAGCGCTTCTTCCGGGAGATTTGGGGGACCAAGCGATCCTCAATGTTCGTCGAGGAAGAGGTTCTGCGAGACGAAAACAATCGTATCAACGTGAAAGTCCCAGAGACGACATGGGCTTTCATTACCACTCCGAGTATTCGTACTCGTATTTTTCAGCGGTTACGAACTCGCCCTTTCGTCCGCAAGGAGTACACACGGGCTCTCTCCGACATAATCCAGGCTGTAAGGACGGGCAATGAAGATATAACTGTAAAGGATGAGGAAGAGCCAGAAGAAGGAGATCTTGCCGAAGAGGAGCACGCCAACAGGACGTCGCTAGACCCCCGTGCAAAACGCTTTCGTGAGGAAGAGCTAGATGTGGATGACAGAGAAAGGAAGAAGCCGCACCTACAAGACGCCGGAACGTCCTCCGACGTTGGCGAACAAGTCATAACTATTGAACGCCCCAGCGACAAAGTCCCAGCAAAGTATCCCAACCCATTTTTGGAGTACAAAGAGTCAGAGCCGAAAGTCAAAGGTTTCATCATCACTGGCCATCCTGGAATCGGTAAAACAGTATCACCCCCCAGCGGAATTATTGACTAACTCTCGAATTTAGGCAAGTCAATTTTCCTGTACTACGTTCTCTTCTTGCGATTGCAAGCGGCCAAGCCGACAATTTTGGTCACTCATCCCGAGAGGGTCACCGCATTCCTCGAACAGAGTACTTTTTCCATATCAATGGCAGATTTCAAGGACGTTGTGCATGTTATTCCCACCACTGCATGGTGCCTCGTGGACACCAACGAGAGTCTGGAAACCGTTCCGGAGGCGATCTATAACACGCCATTTTTTATCTTACAGGCAGCGTTACCGAAGAGAAAACACCTTGAGTGGCAGAACAAGGTTATAGGCATCCGGCAGTATGTCATGAAGCCGTTCTCCCTATCAGAGCTCATAATCGGGTAAGTATGAGAATGAGTCTATTACCCCTATTTACATTTCTGAGCGAGGATGATATATAGGCGAAGTCGAAGTCTCGACGTCAGCAACGCCATTTCAGAAAAGGCACTGCAAGAATACTATCATCAGTATACGCCCTCGGCTCGCTTTGCCTATCAGCATGCAAGCAACCTCGAGAAATACACAACATTTGTGCGAAGTCTCCTCGATCAACTGACCATCGACTATTTGAAAACGTTGGTCGGGGCATTCCCTCTTAACGTCGACTCCGTTGGGGAACAAATCTTATACCATATTCTGACCGTCACAGTCGAAGCTGGAGGAGAGCGAAGCATCCCTAGAATTGAGGTCCCTAGTTATCATCTCAGTCAGCTCATAACCGAGCAGTTGCAGCCCTCATTTACATACTATGCGACTGTTGGAACTGTAGCCTCGGGATGCTGCCAGCTCGACTTCAAGTTGCGAGGGCTGCTGGATATGATAGGCTAGTAGAAGATCTTGACGTGGACTTGAACTGGAGTTCAGGGTGTTCTAGACAGCGGAACACTTTTTTCTTCAATTCGTATGCGAGAGCGCGATGTTACCGTCGAAAAGATGTATGGGGAATATATACGTGGTCGCATAAAATCAAAAGAATATGACACAGGGTGTCTTCACATATAAATGAATACTACAGGCCCAACGACTGTGTGATCATGAGCTCGCTGACTTTTCTACTAACAATCTGCATAGCAGCGTAACTTCGATCACCTCCAGCTTCGGGTGTAACATAAAAGAAGTGATACAGAATTTCTTCGTCCACGGCATCCAAGTTGGGAAAACTCGTCATAAATCTGTTTAGATTCATTCGACGGAATTGTTGTCGGAACTCCATCGCGTACTTGTCAAGATCATTCGCAGACTCATAGGCAGTACGCGCAGATGGCGTATACGATTGGCGATATTTCTCCAACGAAACTTCGGAGATGCTTTCGCCAACGTTCAGGGTTCGATTTCGTCTAACATAGCCTCAGTACTGGGTGAAGAGAGAACGAAATGATCATACCCGACAATGAGCTCTGACAACGTGAACGGCTTCATAACATATTGGTGGATGCCAAGGACTTGGTTTTGCCACTGAAGGTGATCTTTGCGTGCACGCGCTGCCTGTATGATGAAAAACGATGACTTAGTGATAGGAAGCGGCACGCCCTGTAACGTCTCGTTAGAATCTACGAGACACCATGCATTGTCGGGGATGAGCTTTGCTACGTCCATAAAATCGGCCATAGACACGGAGAAAACGCCCTGCTGGAGGAATACGGTGGCTTTTTTGGCAATGACTGACTAGGATAGTAGGTTGGTTCGCCTGTAGACGTAAAAGAAGAATATAATAGAGGAAGATGGTTTTCCCTGTGTTCGTAGGGAGTCACTAGGCATGTGAGAGCTGAATTCAGGTAATTCACCTATACCACGATGGCCAAGAACAACGTAGCCCCTTATTAGTTTCGTGTCGATTTGCTGGCCTCGGAACGGATTGGTGTACTGCGGAGATGGTTTGCTACGCCCGCCGTCATCCAGTCGCTGCTTTTTCTTCTCTCTATCATCCGTGGAGTCCTCTTCACGGAAACGCCGCTTTCCGGTAGTTGGCTCTGAGCTGGAAGGGGGTACCTGTTCCTCATCTTCCAAGGATTCTTCCTCATCGTCCGAAAACTCCTCGTCGTCATCCCTATCGAACGGGACAGTCATCTTGGTGTTTCCCGTCGTTGCGGCCGTGATTATGTCTTGGAGAGCGTCCTCATACTCTTCGCGGATAAAAGGGCGGGTCTGCAACAGTTCCAAGACATCCGCCTTTATAGCAGGCGTTGGACGAAAAACCCAGGTCGTTGGTGGTACAGTTACGTCGGCGCGAGGTTGTGGGTCATCCCGCAGAACTCTTTCCTTGATGAACGGCGATTGCTGGTCGCACCAGATGTCCCGGTAGACTTAGGTGTACTTGTTGCTAAACAGCATCTTTTCAGCAAGCGAAATAAAATTGTGCTCGACAGGAGTTGTTTTCTTATTGAGGGCCATAGATTTCACGGTTTCCTCCGAGATGTGCTGGGGAGAGGCCATGGTCATTTTAACTTTCTAATTGGTCGACGAGTGTCCGACCGATCGTCCAAGTTTACCGAAAAAACTGCCCCCTGGGCACAAGTCAAATTGGAAATCCCGGGCACCGCGTGTATGAGCGCCGGGTGGGAGACGTTACATCTGATAGTAAAGTAAATAGTCCGTGAGTTTGAAAGTCTGTACAGTATCTAAGTCCGTTGTAAGTCCTCTGTGGCTATTTGAGTCCGAAGTAATAACGTCCAGGGTGGATGCGAAATAACGCTGTGCTCTGTCAATTCAACGAGAGCACCCATAAGTTAGGTGAACTACACAAGAAAGAGAAAAACGCACCTGGCGGTTCAACGAGAGCGACAGGCGTTCACGCTGAGACCGCCAGGTCTATATAGTCCAAGGGAAAAGTGAGACACGGGGAGGAAGCTAAAAGCCCGTCAGATTCCGCTATGCTCGAGGACTGTGGCACGTACTCACTGATGAGACGGCTGAGACTCCCGGGGGGAGGCTCCCGTGGGGAGGCTGAGACCGCATATGATAGATATGGGAAGTTACGCGCAGCAGGGCGGCCGACGCCTGTAGGAGAGCGTGAGGAGGAGGTGATACCCGATTAGAGTGATCTCTTACCAATTAGACTTGTGTAAATAATTCCTTTAAACCCGATGAATAAGCAGATGGTGGGAGAGATGAAAGATTGTTTCAGCAAGTTTCATGGGACAATGTGGCATCGGCCCGGTCGCCCGAATGCTAGTCTTTCAACACCAAAATGCTTGATGCAGCGCGCTGTCTAATTCGTGGATCTATCAGTAAGTTTCAGATTGTATCGAACAATACCAGCCATCTAACTTTGTTATTATAGACATTGACGAATTCTTTCATGGTGTGGTTTACTCGTGAACGATCAAAACATCAATAGTAATCTCTCGCGGCAGTGAAAGATATCGTACACCCAGGCGAAACCATATCATCCGACAATTTGGAAAAGAGAGCTGGAGGCAAGGGCGCCAACCAGGCTGTTGCGGTTGCCCAAGCTGGAGGACAAGTCGATCTTGTAGGGGCCGTTGGTAGCGATGGTATTTGGGTAAAATCTCAATTGGAAAAGGCTGGTGTAGACGTGGGCGGCGTACTCGTAACAGAGGTAAGAAATACGACTGTTCTAGTCCTGGCTGACTGGTGCATACCCAGGAATCGACTGGAAGGGCTGTAATACAGCTCACGAGCAAAGGAGAGAACAGCATCATTCTCTATAAAGGCGCCAATTTTTCAAGCATTCCTCCACGACCCATGAATCCAAGGACCACTCATCTTCTTCTTCAAAACGAGATCCCTTTCTCAGACACTCTAGCCCAGATAGCTGCCGCCAACAACCCTTCTCTTTCAAAGCCCCTCTCAACCATCTTCAACCCGTCACCTATGCCTTCCAAGGCTCAGCTTCTACAATTTCCTTGGGATAAACTCACCTGGTTAATTGTCAACGAAGGAGAAGCCTCCGATCTAGTCGACATTCTCCTTCCTTCCCCCACTTCTCCTGTATCTAGTAATGAAAGCTACGCATCTCTATCTGCCTCTCCCAGCATCCTTCAGTTACCAGACGTGCAGAAGGTCCAATGAATGATGCAAGAGGGCGGGGTGCTGGTAGTGTCGAAATCAAGGATGCTGTCAGCTGGTAACTCTCCTCTTTTTATCACCAAACTTCATGACTATTCCACTTTTTGCGGAAGATGAGGTCTCCTTTGCATGAATAGCAAGAACAGGGTACTAAAGACTAAAAAGTAATGAAAGAGAACAATGCTAATAGGAGAAACCAACTCACCATTTAATAATACAATGAGATACTAGAACACATTGCGATGATAGTTTGACTCAAAAACAATAGTGCAAGAAAGAGAAATCACGTTGCATTGGTGCAAGTCTGTCCTGCTAAGTCTCGATTGCCTGGTGTCTAAACATTCACAGCCACCACATGAGTATTTGATCTCCCAATTGGCAATTAAGATATTTCATTAGAACTCATCACGACTATTCATCTTCACTACTTTTATTTGTCTTCGTCTCTTCTTAACAACCACTGTAAAATTGTCTTATCCTATATGCTGTAACATGAAAAGATGATATTAGGACTGAATGAAGATCAAGAAGCTGGGTTCACAAAAATAGAGGAGTTGCAGCAACCCACGTATATTGTTGAATCAAACACATCATCTGAAATGTATGCGCAGAGCTGAAAGGCATTCCTATCTTGTTATTGACCAATGCTAGACTACTAGAACCATTGTTAGGACAGTCAGAACCAATATGTTGGAAGTACAGAGAAGAATGTGTGAGAGAGAATTAATTAGCCTCTCGAGAGAGAGGTGTCGTACTTAAATACATGTTGTACTACTTCTAGAACTTACTAAGAATTACTATATGTATCTACTTTTGCAGTTAAATGTTCATGCCACTTACTCATGCCAAAGCTTCGAGTGCATTCTAGCACTAACTCAGGATTGCTATCCCAAAACAATATTTCATACACTGACCTATACCCATGAGAGGAGTAGAGAAAACCAAGGGTATGGTGGGTTTTGCTGGGTACTGGACCCTTACTCGGCGGGTATGGGTATGGGTTGCCTTTGCTGGATGGTGGCTGTACCCATGCCATGATCCTGGGCTTTTTCAGAGGTATTTTCATCATAGATCACCTGTAAATGATTGATTAGATTGGAATAAACAATTTTGGATGCCATCAAAAAATGTGTGACTGTGCTATGACTCCGACCCGTGCTGAAACCTGTGTGGGTCCCAGGTATGGGTCAGCCAGGTATGAGTACGGGTCGGCTTCATGGCACCCATGGGTTACCTGTGGTGAACCCTAGAGAGGAGAAACAGCAGGATGGGGATCATTATCACTATTGATGAAGATGGGGTCATCCAAACTATCACAACTCATGCAGCATATCAGGCCATGCATGCGAGAGCAACGTACTGATTCAGAGATCAAGTCAACATACACCTTCATGTTGATGACACTGGTGCAGTTATATCTGGTGCCTGTACTGTGAAACTGGGTTGTGTCAAATTTGGTTTTGATCCTAGAAAGAGAGGGTATCATCACCTTTCTGCTACTTGGTTGAATACTTACTTTGCCTATCCCTTCAGCCAGGGAAGTTCATGCAGAAGCTTGAATTTGCATACAAAAGAGTACCTGTAGAGCAGAGAGACATAGATAAATGATGGCTTCTTGTTGTACAAACACTTCTTGAAAGCAAGTTGGATGTGTTGAGATAAGCAGTAATTCTCCAGCTGCTCACCCGGATATAGCAGGGAACCCTCACAAACAGGTGAGGGTCATTGTCGTTCATCTACCTATTTATCTACATGCCATGTACACTAATAGAAGCAATATGATGTAATAAGGAAAGCCGAGGAGGAGAACAGATGAACAGTGCTTCCTACTGAAGATCCTGACATTGACTGCACCATGATGTGTGTTACGGTTTATTCATTTTTCTTCATTTTACTCAGCTTGATTACTCATATACGATCCCTACAGATCATTTCTCACAGTACTATTAATAGCGTATCCACTTGTATTTAAGTAGAGCCTCAGCTGGCCTAAACCCCAGCTTCGGCTAAGGTTTAATCTACCCAACTTGAACTCCGTTCTTCGTGTCTACGTGCCTGCAGTCCACTTTGACATTGCCTTTGACTTGCTAGAGTATCTACCACCGAAGTGCGAGTGGGGATCCTAGTACGATCTAAGTCGATTATTAGTTGGTTGTCAACATTTAGCCGAAGCTCGACCCACGTTGCCCAGCACCTGAACGCTGCCCAACATTTATCTCCTAATCCTCCTACTCCTGGTGACTGACTGGGTCCTACTGCTCAGTGCTGCCGGACCCCATCCTCACCGTCGTTCTCATAGTCCTAGCGACTATTCTCCTAACCCAAATAGTTATCACTGCCCTGCTACTTGCAGTACTGCTCGTAGTGGTCTACGTTGGCTTCCTTCGAATCTAGACACCCACCGATCATTTAAACTGACGCTGTTTCCCGTCATCATGCAAGCAGTCGTCATATCAACCATCTTCATGTTGATAATGACTAGTGAACTCTATCCTGTTCTGATAGTCGCATGGTTAATCGTAACCGTCGGACTATACGAAGAATAGACCCACTCACGGATGCCCTGGTCCGATGCCATTCCCGCCATCTTCACGACTTTTATACTCTTTTTCTTGTCCATTATTTTGTACCGACTACACCGCTGTTTTCGACAACAGAGGAGAGTCTGTGCACAACTCCCCTTCCATTACGTACCCAGCACTCCCGCATATCCCCCTCCGGTAATCCACATCCCCGAAGCCTCTCAGCAGACCATACGAGATGTCAAATCCAACGTCTCTGGGGGACCTGGAGAATCCCTTTACGGATTGTCGCAGTCCAGCTCACGATACTCAGGGTCGAGCACCGACTCCTACAGAAGCGCTACCGCTGAATCTGTCAACTCAGTCGACATCACCGATACCCGGGGCATACTCCTCGACAGAGGAGACTCGCCCCTACCAGGCCTCTTCGACCAGTCTCCAGTCCAAGGCGAGTCAAGCACCGACCAAGGCCGAAGACAAGACACCAGGCCTCTGGACGAGGGCGAAGAAAGCCCTGACACCGAGTACGAAGGGGACGAGCTCACTGACCTCGAAAGAATCAGACTCGAAGACCTCCTCGGTGACCTCTACCCGAATGAAGAGGAGAATGCAACCCATACCGGAGACAGCTGGAGTGGGCACTCCTCAACCAGGTGGACAGACACGGACTGGGGAAGTGAGCGCAGGAGGTATGAGGAAAGGACAGGAGGAGACGACTTTGACGAGGATCCCGGAGAGCTTGCCCTTGGGGCCTCCGCCGTGACTTCCACCCATACAGATGGAGCAGGATCCGTTCTTCCTGCTTGGCCGACAGACAGGGGCCCCCCAGTCGGCTGGTACCCCTCTACCAGCTGGGTCTACACTGACCCAAGGGAAGAAGCTCCTGTGGCCCGAGTCGCGACCCCGAGAAGCTTCACTTTCCCCGTCCGCCCAGAGGTCCCAACGCCTACCCCCATCCTCACCAGGCCTGAACCGACGGATCAGCAGCTCTGGGAGGAGTTCCCGGACTACGATTCCGAGGAACTTGGAGCAATTGCCGGAGCCGGGGACCTCGCCCCAGTCCCCACTTTTACACTGTCAGTCACGGGTCGAGCATTCACCGACTCTGTCCCTAGCAACCAGCATCCATGGACGCTTCTCTACCACACACTCATCGAGTCCCTCGACATCCCTCGAAATGCCCGGCTTGCCCCAGAAATCGAGGCCCAAATGGACCGAGCAAGAGCGGCAGACACACGCACTTGACGTGCAGAAATCGCCGCCCTCATCGGACCCAACGGCTTCTATGACCTCCCCGTCGAGCCCAACGCCACCCATGCTGAAATCGAAAACAGGCAGCGAGCTGCCGCCCTCCGATACTCCAGACTTGTCGAGCGAGCTGGGACCGATCTCGAAGCCCGCCGAAGAGCCTGGCAGGCCTACGAGTCGGAGATCAGTGATCCCGACTCCGACATCAGGCGATGGAAGAGAAACAAGGAGATCAACAGACTCGCCCGAGAGAGGAAGAAGGCCAAGGATGCTGAGTCGGCTGCCAAACAGCTCCCTCGAGGTCGAGGTGATGAGGGCGGTCCAGACGGTCCTCATCGACCCAGCGGCTCCGGTCCCAACAATCTTTAATATCCTACCGTGGCATGGACTATACGAGATAATGATGGAAGATATGGAGCGGGACTCCCAGTGGCTCCTCATGGAGGCGGGAGAAGATTATCGACATGCAAAATACATGGGGGACGTTTACCTCATGAAGAACATTCTGGAAGTAGAGACGTGGCACAGGGCCGCCACCGTGTGGAACCAAGTACACCCCGACAGCATGTGGCCGGGGTGTGAGCCCTACCGTCGACCCCAACCGATGCCTAACCCGCTCGAGACGGAACAGTTTTGGGCAGGAGTGGGCCCCGAGGACCCAGGCGATACATGGGATGATCCAGGTGCCGGAACGTCCAAAGGAAAAGAATCGATGGTGCCGAAACAACCGCCGCCCATACCACCGAACCAGTACCCAGGAGGGTACCCGCCTCCCGATGACAATCCACACTTACGCTCGCTCTCGAGGCCACCCAAGCCACCAGTACCACCGACGGTCCCTCCTCCTCCGGACCCTATTCCACCCTATATCCTGGCACCGGGCGTGGCCAATAACCCCTGGAATGATGTGAAACCCAAGCTGGTCACCCAGCCTGGAATATTTTACAGGGGTGTCATCCGACATCATTCGCTTCCTTCATCATTGCAAGGTATACTTCCAGGTATTCCCGATGTATTTCACGATGAACGACCAAGGGCAAAACCCCTACCGCATTACGTTCACCCAAGGCTATCTACGGGGAGAAGCCCAACAGTGGTGGAATGACCAGTATTACCGATACCGGACGCCACAGGGGCACTGGAGGTTCCCCAACTGGGACGAATTTTCTCATGACCTAACGGTTCAATTCTGCGAGGTAGCTGAGTTGGCCATATGGAAACAGGAATGGAAGCAGGTCCGACAGTCGGACTTCAAATCCGCAGTGGAGTTCTTCGCCAAGTTTGAATGCCTGGCCCACAAGTGCGAAGAATTTGAAGACGAGAAGCAGATGTTTGAGGCAGTAGAAGCGGCGATTAGGCCAACGGTGCACAAGACGGTTATGCATGGGGACAACGAGCGCCCCACAACCTACGTGCAATGGAAGGCACGAGTCCTGAGGATTGACGCCAATTATCGTTACGACGT